GACAGCTTTGAAGTTCAATATCAGCTCAAGGGTAAGGGTGTTCAACAGCTTCAATCAACGAGGTTTGCATTTGCTGCGGTCCTGGCAGATGGGTCAGTCGTGACTTGGGGCTCTCCAGACCGTGGTGGTGACAGCTCTGAAGTCCAAGATCAGCTCAAGGGTGTTCAGCAGCTTCAATCAACGATGTTTGCATTTGCTGCGATCCTGGCTGATGGGTCAGTCGTGACTTGGGGCGACCGATACTCTGGTGGTGACAGCTCTGAAGTCCAAGATCAGCTCAAGGGTGTCCAGCAGCTTCAAGCAACTGAGCGGGCATTTGCTGCCATCCTGGCTGATGGGTCAGTCGTGGCTTGGGGCGACCCAGACTATGGTGGTGACAGTTCAGCAGTCGCAGCCAACTTTGCATGTGTGTAACCATGTTGGTGCAAAGTCGCCCATCGGCTTTTGGAAGTGTGTTTGATACCCATCGCATATATTTAGCAGCCTAATTTCTGAACCGATAGAAACTATCACGGTGATATGTATATATATTTATATATATTTATATTATATATATACATATATATATATATTATATGTATGTATATTTATGATAAACCTTGGACATTGCATTAAACCTTATTTTGGGGATCGCCGTTCTAATGTTGCCTTTTTGGCCTATCGCGTCCAGATAGGGTCGGATCACGGTTCCAATGCTGGCGTGTTGAGGTGGCGGCCGACCTGGTCCAGACTTCCAGCCGAGTTTATCGGCACGTTGGATGGAGGCGGGTGGATGGAAGGACCTTTTTTGTCATGTCATGATCATAACAGAAGGTTGTTGTTTCTTAACCAGTGGGGACAACATTTTTGGGGTCATTGGCTTCATGTTTTCCATCCTTTCGGCAAAAAACAAATTTCTGGAACGGGAGCGGAAACAGAATGAACTATGCAGCTTTGTACTTTGTAGCTCAGCAGTGTATCCATGAATCTTTTGAAACCGTCGATCTTTACCTCTGGACCTTCTAATTCCCAGGGTGGCAGTGTTTTTCCCCCAGACAATGTGTCCACACTGAGAGGTTCTTACGGTAAGTGTAAAAGGCCGGGGTTAGATCAGGGTGCTCCATCTGGGCCCCGGTTTTTTCACAGTGTGGGTAACAGTTTTGGCTCTTTCGCAGGTGTAGTGTTACCAGCACGCCGTGCTCGTTTTTTGCGCTATGGCTATGGTCTGACATGGTTGAAAATCATGGTCAAAAAAATAAAATACCTCAATGTCAGACCTTCAATTCCAATACATACGTAAGGTCTACAAGGAAATTCCTGGGGCCCTTCTGTAGTAGGTGGGGGTTTTGCAATGTCTTGCATTTCAGATGGGAGTATCGTCCCCGATGACATTTGGTAAATGACAAGCTTGACAGAGCCTGGCCTTTGCGGCTTCCTGCGCAGGGCGTTGCCATGCTACTGCATCCATCCTCAAGGACCGCTTTCTGGCCATTGCTGGTGGCTGCGAGAGGGTCGCCGGGCTACAAGGCGGCGGAAATCGAGAGGGGTCTGGCACATGAAAACGATGGGGAAAAAAGAATCCAATACGTAGTGTAGCATCTTTTCCTTATGAATTTGGCCAAAAAACGGAGGGTATGCCACATGGTTCATCCTTCTATTTTTTTTCGCTGGTTCTACTCTAGCAAGGGGTCAACCAACATATATTTACATTTTTTTTACCAGTTTCAATATCTTTTAATGGATATTTTCATGGCAATCCAGTACCATCAAAATTTACGACACACGCAGATTTTCCAGGCGATGATGGCTGGATCATGGCTGGGCAACTTGACGTCGTCGTACTTTTTTTTGGGCCTGTTGGGCGGTGGTAACGGGGGATGGTGAACCGGATTTTCATGGGATTAGTAGGATGATTTTGCTATGGTTTGAACCGACAATTAGTGGGATACCCTCTGGTAAACTAACATAGCTATGGAAATTCACCACTTTTAGTGGGAAAATCAACTATAAATGGTCATTTTCAATAGCTATGTTAAATTACCAGAGGGTAAATAGGGGGACAAATGAGGGTTTTTCCAAGGGTTTCATGGTGTTTTTCATGGGATTCTATGGTGGTTTTGCTAAAAATCAAACCAAAAAAAATGGGGATATTCATGCGGAATGACTTTCCGGTAGTTAGGCAGACAGTTTGCTATGGTCGGTATAGATGACCCATGAAAGTAGATGAAATTGTTCAACGAAGTCTTTTTTGACAAGAAAACATGGGTATGTAGTCAAAAAGGTGAATGAATATGAATGCTTGTAACCAATAGAGATAGACATGGTGATATGTCCAGTTTGTGGTTCACCGTGGTGAGGCTTGATTGACTATTGCGGATTGCTAGTTGGTCGCTGAATATTTTTCAGTAAAAAAACACTTTGCGATTCCAAGGAGTGCAATTTTTTTTCAGGAGCCAACTGCCCCTTCTGTTCCATTTGTGGCCAGCGTCCGCGTCCTTCACTAACTTGTGGCTGATGGATGGGTAGATCATTTTCCTAGGGAACCATTGCCAGATCTGTGGTTCACGTTCACCTGAATCTTTTTTTTTCGGTTTCAAGATGCCAGGAAGAATGGATGGTTATCAGAAAGACACATTTCTCAGTGCCAAGAACATTGGCGGCCATTGATTCATAGCATCAATCAGTATCCAAGTGGCCCCCTAAAAAGGCATCCTTGGGCCCCCTAAAAAGGCACATGAAATGGGGCCACTTGGGCCCCCAATTTACGGTCACTTTCATCTGGAATTTTTGGAAAATCCCAAACGAGTTCATGTGGATTTTTTTCCAGAAATTTCAGATTCAACTGATGGGCTTTAAAAGTTCACCGCCCAAGGCTGCAGGTGCGCCCCGATTTCTGGATGTTAGATCTGGAGAACCCTCAGAGCTGGCAGAAATTGCTGGACTTCGATCGACCCGGCTGGTGGGAGCTTTGAGAGATAAACATGTGGTGATTTCGGTGTGGATCACGTGGATTTCTGGTACCCTCTGGTAATGACTGACAGTTTGCGAACTTGAACATGGCCCAGTCGAAATAGTGGATTTAGCCATTGAAAATGGTGGATCTTTCCATAGTTATGTTAGTTTACTAGAGGGTATGACTCATTATTATGACTTTTTCCTATGAAAACATGATGATTAGATGTACGTGTTTAGAGGGACCGGGAACCAGCATCAGATAATGGAGAGTGGGCACCCACTTCCAAGCCCAAAGAAACCAGTTTTTCAGAAGACGTTCCTAACCAGTGTTTTGCGAAGTGAGACAAGTTTTGGAAGGTCTTTTCCAAAAGATCGGAATCACACAATGAACCACTTTTTCCCCACATTTTTAAAAGTCTAATCCAACTCAATTCCGGAGGGCCTCCCCAACATTTCATCAGTTTCGATTTGCTGGAGGAGCTTTTCCCCACCAAAAAACAAATATACTTTCTGTTAATCACAAGTCAGTTCAGTGACCCCGAAAATCAGCTTTTCATGTCATTTTCCCAGCTTTTCACGTCATTTTCCCAGCTTTTCCGTTCGCGCTTCCCCAGTGGTGGGAACCCCCAGTGGTGTTCCCCTTGGGATTTTCCCAAGGATTCCAGCAGTGTGGTGATCCATGAGAGAACGATGCTGATCTTTGGAGGACACGACAGCTCCCAGGTGAACGAATTCAACGATCCCATGGGAGGTGCCAGATGGCGAAATGCGGTTGCGCGGGTCATGGATGGAACACATGAAGGATGGATGAAGGATGGAAAAGTCAACTTTATTGGGGACGATTATTTTTTGTTTTGTTTTGGACCTGTCAGCGGAAGTTCTTGGTTAAAGTTAAAGACATATTCTACAAGAGGGTGGCCATTCATTTCGACTGAGATCCCTTGATTCTTTGGGGTTGATTTCCTTCCGTGGCAATTGATGTGGGCAGGACAGTCTCGTGATTGGAATCATCGGCATTTTTTGGGCCACAGGAAACATATCAACTGGGTCGTTTATGTCAATGTAGTTCCTCCTCCTCCTCCTCCTCACCATCACCATCGGCATCAGCATCAGCATCATCATCATCATCATCATCATCATCAGCATCAGCATCAGCATCAGCATCAGTATCAGTATCCGCATCCGCCTCCTCCTCCTCCTTCTCCTCCTTCTCCTCCTCCTCCTGCTCCTCCTCATCCTCATCCTCATCCTCATCCTCATCCTCATCCTCATCATCATCATCATCATCATCATCATCATCATCATCATCATCCTCATCCTCATCCTCATCCTCATCCTCATCGCCACCACCATCATCATCATCATCATCATCATCATCATCATCATCATCATCATCACCACAATCATCCTCATCCTCATCCTCATCGCCATCGCCATCGCCATCCTCATCCTCATCCTCATTGCCATCGTCTTAGCATCGTCATCGTTTTCGTCATCGTCGTCATCATCATCATCATCATCCTCATCATCATCATCATCATCACCATCATCATCATCATCATCATCATCATCATCATCATCATCATCATCATGTGCACCATTATCATGTTTACTGTCATCATTTTCACCATCATCATCATAATCATCATCGTCATGGTCATCGTCATTGTCACCATCATCATCATCATCGTCATCATCATCATCATCATCATCATCATCATCATCAATATCGTCATCATCATCAATATCGTCATCATCATCATCATCATCATCACAATCAAAACCACCACTATTGTCACAATAATCAAAATCAGTACTTGTCACAGCCAATAAATCACGATACCACTATGAAACTATGATTGCTAATCGCCATGGCCAATAATACGATTGTGTTTATATGGATCTTATTGTCATAATATACTTAATAATACCATAGTGAGTAATAAAAAACCCAGCAACATTGACTTTATTATCGTTAATGGTTGTAGTAATGGCTGGAGTGACACTTGATAACAACAACACAGTTGACACATAATGGCTAATAACAAAAATGCAACGAACATTCTATGAACATGTTGTAAACAATTTCCAACAAATGTTTCTAAGAAAGTTTAGTAGTAATTTGATCATACTTCATTAATGGTTGAATAGTCGAAAGGACAGTTGAGAACAAAAAATGTTGTGTTGCAACTGTTTTTGTCGTAACCCTAAATCCTAAACCCCAAAAATCTAAATCTGACATGAAACCCAAGATAAGCCTTGAAAGCAGAATCTTATTCACAGCGTGGTTTTGAAAAAACTTAGAACACAAAATGAAACCCTAAACAAACCTTAAAGAGTTGGTCATTTGATAAACCTCTGAGCCGCGCCCCCGGTCTGCGGGTATTATTACTATTGCTCTTATCATGATTATGATTGTGATGATGATGATGATGACGACGACCACAATAGTAACAATGATAGTAGTACTAATTGTAACAACAATAACAACAATAACAAAAATAACAACAATAACAATAACAATATTTTTTTCCCCACCTGCCAGGTGAGGGTTGTTAGATTTTATGTCAGTTGCCTGCTCCTCTCCTCTCCTCCTCATCTCCTCCTCATCTCCTCCTCCTCTCCTCCTCCTCCTCGTCGTCCTCCTCCTCGTCCTCCTCGTCCTCCTCGTCCAACTGCGACCCGCGATCCACAGTGTTCTCTGTCGGACCTCAACCACGACCATCCATGCTCAGTGTTCCCTGCCGGACCTCAACCACGACCATCCACGCCCAGTGTTCCCTGCCGGACCTCAACCGCGAGTATCCACGCCCAGTGTTCCCTGCCGGACCTCAACCACGGCCAAAGTGTTCCCTGCCGAGACCTCATGTCCCTGCACTGCCAGAAGATATGCCCAGAAGATATGCCAGAAGATATGCCAGAAGATATGCCAGAAGATAAGATATGCCAGAAGATATGTCAGATAGAATGCCAGAAGATATGTCAGAATATATGCCAGAAGATATGCCAGATAGAATGCCAGAAGATATGTCAGATAGAATGCCAGAAGATATGCCAGATAGAATGAGATGCCAGATAGAATGCCAGAAGATATGCCAGAAGATATGTCAGATATGCCAGAAGATATGCCAGATAGAATGCCAGAAGATTTGCCAGATAGAATGCCAGAAGATATGCCAGATAGAATGCCAGAAGATATGCCAGATAGAATGCCAGAAGATATGCCAGATAGAATGCCAGAAGATATGCCAGATAGAATGCCAGAAGATGCCAGATAGAATGCCAGAAGATTTGCCAGATAGAATGCCAGAAGATATGCCAGAAGATATGCCAGATCATATGCCAGAAGATATGCCAGATAGAATGCCAAATAGAATGTCAGAAGATATGTCAGATAGAATGCCAGAAGATTTGCCAGTAAGAAAATGTATAAATGTCATGGTGGGGATCACACGAAGTAAAGTATTTTTTTTTTCTTCTCTCTCTCTCTCTCTTTCTCTATACATATACATACAGGTATATATACAACATACATATACATACACATATATATATATATATAAATATCTATCTATCTATCGATCCATCCATCCATCCATCTATCTATCTAATCTAATCTAATCTTATCTTATCTTATCTTATCTATCTATCTATCCATCCATCTATCTATCAATCTAATCTAATCTAATCTTATCTTATCTTATCTTATCTTATCTTATCTATCTATCTATCCATCTATCATCTAATCTATCTATCTAAATCTAATCTAATCTAATCTAATCTAATCTAATCTAATCTAATCTATCTATCTACCTACCTATCTATCTATCTATCTATCTCTATCTATCTCTATCTCTATCTATCTATCTATCTATCTATCTATTTATCTATCTATCTCTATCTATCTCTATCTATCTAGATCTATCTAGATCTATCTATCTATCTATCTATATATATATATATATTGTAGGAATGGTCACTCCAACCATTTTCCGGGCCGCAGGCTACGCCAGCAAGGAGGATGCGTTGCTCGTTCGCGTGGACCGCGAAGGGCTTGCTGTGGCCGCCAGCTACTGCGGCGAGGAGCCCGGGCGCGAGGCGATGACGTTTGGGAAGGGTGTTCTTGTGGTAAAATGGTGAAAAATGTTGGGAAAATGCGGATTTATGGGACTATCACAGGGATATCATGGGATAGTAGTTGGAATATGGTTTTGAGAGATGAAAAATGGTGAAACGTGGTGGTTTTGCCATGAAACATAGGAGTTCATCAGGAAAAACATGGATTTCTACACCAAAAATGGAGGTATATAGAACCAACCATGATGGAGGGATAATATGGAGATATAACTATAACCAATGACATGATGCTTTGCTGTGTCTGAAAATGGGGTATACCCAAAAAATTGGAATCGAAGGGGAACAATGCTGATAAACCATGAGATTTTTAGGTACCCAATTTTCAGCAAATCCCATATCGCACAAACAACAAACATGGTTTAATAAGGATGTTATGGGAATATAGTGGGGACCTGGTGGAGTATCAATGGATTACTTTAACCAACTGGTTGAAAATAGGGGGACGTAGGCATCGAAAATGGGAATATACTGGGTACAGAACCAATGATGATCTGGTTGGTGGTTCCAACATATTTGCTCTTTAACCATAGGAATGGGATGATGATCCCCAATGACGTTTCCATTTTTCAGGGGGTGGAAACTACCAACCAGAAATGATGAGACGCATATATATATATATATAGAATATACAAAAACATACATAATACATATGCATTGTGAAGATCAGTATAATTTTCAATAGAAACTCCTGGACATCTAATTGCAAAAATCATCGGATGTTCAACGTGATGAGCTGTTCTGAGCCAGGGATAAGGAAAAAATTGGTGACATGGGTAAACAAAGAACCCTGGTCCCAGGGTGCCACCAATTCAGATAAGTCAACTGAACTGGGTCAATCATCTGCCCTTGTAGGATCGTTTACCTCCTGAACTGTGATGATGGGGGTCTGAACCCCCGATAAAACTCGTGTACTTTGGTCGTATCCGTACTACCCAGCTACAATTACGGGTGAGAATCTCACCAATGTGATGTTACAGTGATGGCGAGGGTGCCATTTTTTTCTCTTGATCTATAGACTATAGACAAACAGAGATCTATAGTCCAGGTTGTCAACACGCCGTTGCCCCTCCCTTCAAGGGATCGATACCACCAATACCAACATTTGAACGGCGACGGAAAGGGGCCCATGTGAGTCTATAAGGGGCCCATTTTCACCGATAAAATGGTCATCAAACAATGGGGAACATGGTGCTGCTTAACGACCAGTGGTCATCATGTTTTTTTTGGGTCCCCACATTCTCAGACGAAACCGCGTGATGATTTCTGAAATGACCTTGCGCTGTTGGTTTTGTTGGCACCAACTATTTCTCTGGGCGAATGTCTTGCCATTTCTGCATGGCCGACCTCATCAAGAGTGAGAGTTTTTAGGGGGAACCATCCCACATGCCAACCTGTCTGATTTGGGAACCAGAAAAATTTGCGCAGATAGGTTGGTTCTATACGGTTCCCAATCTAGGACTATGACTGTCAGATATGTTTGGATCAGATTATCCCATTGTCTTTGATACTGTCATTTCTGGTTATATAAAATAATATGTGTCGATCCCGTGGTATGTATTTGATGGTTTGTTGATAAGACTTACTTGGGTTAACTACAGACAGGGGATACTGAAGATTAACAGGGGTCCAATGGTAAACATGTGTTCTGGTCCTGTGGTGACTTGCCTGGTGATGAATTACATAATTTATAAGCCATCCCCACCAGGGATCCTCAACGATTGTCAAAAATCAATGATCATAAAAAGCTGTATTTATGATCAATTGAATTATTGTGTATTTCTGCAATGATCACTTGAATTTATGATCAAAGACAGTTGCTTTCTGCTTGGTCCAATGACCCAACCTGTCGCTTCAGGCCTGCTACGGTTCCCTGGTGACGCTTCCGGGCTCGCGGGTGCTGTGCTGTTGTGCAGATGCCACAGGCCGTTGGCACCCAAAAATGGAGGATTTGACCAGCCATTTTTTGGCCCTCAGAAATGGAGGCCTTTTTTGCAGTCAGAAACAGGAAGTCGAAAATATAAAACACCGTAGAATTCCACCATTTTGGTGGTCAAAATTGGTCACTTTTGCTGCTCCAATCCCGATATCAAGCTTGGTTGACGTCCCATTTTGCTGGTCAAAGTGGATGTTTCTACCCTTGAAATTCGACTTGGAACCCAGTCTGCCGGGTCACCGGCAGTGGCCATAGGTGACGAGATGCAAGCCTTTGAGCTGTGTCATGGCGATGGTGACTGAACATCCCAAGTTTTCGGAAGTCGCCATCCAGTCAGATCAGTGCTTGATCTGTGCTTTGGCATCTGCCGTGATCGCCTTGATTCATGGCCGGTTTGTTCCCAAACCAACCATGTTGTGTACATTTGCCGGATGTGGTCGGGAAATTCGACTACTGTCCCTTGCCCATAGTTTTGGGCTTGTAGATAGGATAGAGTGAGCTCAAAAGAAGCTGATGATCGCGGGTGGCAGATATCTTCCGCAGAAAAAAAGTAGACAGTAATCCGGTGCTTCAAAGCATCACCAACACTCCTGGGATATAAGGGGCCGCGTAAAAATCTATATCACCCCTTTAAAATGAACGGTTCAGTGCACTAATGGCTGGGTCTTTTTTAGCGCACTGGTACCCCAATTGAGACCACAACGCCATGGTACCTCGGTTGCCGCCATCATGGCCACTACCGAAGCCCCAGATCCCATCGAAACCCAAAATTGCAGGCTCCAACAGTGGAGGATTCGATCTCCCCACCTGCCAAACGTCTTAAGACTGAGGTGCGACAGGGGTACAGTTGAACTGTTGGGTTTGTGGTAGATATATCACTGGGTAAATTTGATCACGACCGAAGCCTGTTCAACCCCGAACCCTGGAATCATGGTGGATTTTAGGGAAATCATCCCAATAGTTGGCCGAACTACTCAGGTTAGTGAAATATTATCATTTACCCAGCTGGTTGGTGGTTTGGAACATTTTTTATTTTCTCATTCAGTTGGGAATGTCATCATCCCAACTGACTTTCACTCCATCATTTTTCAGAGGAGTTGAATCCACCAACCAGACATTGTATCATTCCATATAATCCCATCTCATCCCATATAATCCCATCAAGTATCATCTCTAGTTACCCAGATATATATATCTCTAGTTACTGTGTATAAACCACCTTAAAGAACCACCTGGGGCACCACCTTGTAGCTGGACCAGGATCCTAAAAATTTTTCCCCATGAGATTTTCTATCCCTAAAGATGCCATGGTGAATTTCATGAAATCGCTGCATAAAATATGGCAATATATATATATAGTATTATATATTATATATCATATATCATGTATCATATATCATATATCATATTATATAATACATATATTATATCATATATAATATAAATATATAATATAAATCAATAAATAAATCAATAAGTAAATTGAGTACATAAGAATAAATATACAGTAGAGGTATCATTCGTTCAAACTCAGTTGGATTATCAGGTTATGAGGCCATGGAGCCAGAATTTCCATGGCTCAAGGCATCGTGACAACCTCAATTTCTTCAAGGCATCGAGAGATACCAACACTTCAATCAACCGTAAAGTTACCATCCAGATTTACCGGATACCAACTTTGGTCATATCTTCCTGAGTCTCAGGTGGTTTTTGTCCCATTTTCTATCAGATCAATGAGCAACTTTAGTTAATAGCAACTGACCATTAACCATCATTAACCATTAACCTTGACCATAGAAAATGATTATCAATAGGGATGGTCAAGGTTAATGGTTAATGATGGTTAATGGTAAGTTGCAGGTCAGTTGCTATTAGGGATAATCCCCAATCATTTTCTATACCATTGACCAATCAATCTACCCTCTGGTAAACCAACATAACTATGGAACATCACCCTTTTTAATGGGAAAATCAACTATAAATGGCCATGTTCAATCGCTATTTTGACATAACCAGAGGATATTTGTTTTACCAAAATGGGTTCCCCAACGACATGACCCTAGGAGCCTGTCCAGTCGGAGTCCGAAGCGCCGCCGTGAGATCCGATGGCCATGGGGAAAAATAGCCAAGTTCGTACGCGCGGATGGGGGAAGTTCTGCGATTGGAAACTGGGAATGTATTTTTTGGTGGTAAACTGGTAAACCGGTCAACCTCAAATTTTGGGGCTATATCACTCATTTCTGGTGATGTTAGGGATGGTTTAGTATACTTTTGTTATTGGGTTTACCACATCATATATATTTAGAGCCAATGAAAACTGTTTTCCATTGGATTTTTGGTTTCTTTTGACCCATTTACTTCCGGAATGTTTCCTGCCGACGTGCCGAACCAGCGACGACGCGCCATTCCATCTGCCCTCCGAAACACATGCGAAACCGTGGCAAGCACTATATATAGCGCAATGCCATACTAGATGAGGAACTGGCATGTTGCGTGCGAAATGCAAAGTGACGACCCTTTTCACAAAGCAACCGATGGCGCAAAACACCCAGTCCTTTGGGAAAAGTCGTCCTCTCTGGTTATTGCAGGCGGCTCAACTGGAGATCTGCCCCGCTGACAAGCCAGATGTGTGAAGGGCTTTTGGCAATGACTGAAGCACGTTTACGAGCAGCCCGGACTTCAATCATTAAAAACAACTCGTAGCGGAGAAAACAAGGAAGCAATGATTGTCGTTCCCCAACACATTTACGATTTTTGCCCTGAGCATTCTGCAACAAACAGCCTAACGCATTTGGTCGCGTAAAGGGACATGCCAAAACGGCCCCGCCTGAGGGATCTACTTTTCGTCATGTGTCCGGAGCGGAATTTCAATCGAGGGAGCTGGGGGAGTCTATTCCCACAGATGACCAGGAAGAAACATTCAAAACAGCGTTGCCGGGCGCGGATTTTGTGGCAGGTGGCAGTTGTTTGACAAGTAGCGAGCGGGGCGCCGAATTGCTTCTGGTACAACAAGTTGCTATGAAATCGTAAATGAAAGCATCATATGTGACCGAATAATTGTGTATACATAATGCATCCACGATATCATATCGCGTAATCATATCACATCATATTGCAATGTCTGCGTTTAGTGTCAGCATATGATATCGATCGTTGTTGTCAAAATCTTGGTTCCAGAAAGTGGTGGGGGCGCCCATCTTGGTGTACCCATTTTAGTGTGGAGTTTGGATATCACTGAATACATCGAAAGCATTCATTTCAGCGTTTTTATGCCTGGCAAAGTTACTCGCAAAATATCGCAAACGTTGTTTTGTAGTCTAAAACCATCAAAAACCATCGAAAACCACCTCAAAACCATCAAAACCATCAAAACCATCAAAAGTTCATGCTCTAAAACCATCTAAAACCATCAACACGTTTGGGTGCATTTCCGCTAGCGCTCTAGGTGGAGGCCTGCTGCATACCAGCCGCACGAAAAATGGCGAAAAATGTCGCTACACAAAAGATGCGTCCCCCGAAGAGGACATGATTGACCACTCTGTTTGAAGGGGATCCATAACATCTATGTCTAGAAATGATCCATGAACTGGGAATAACCAGCCAGGGTCACAATCTACACTGTCTATAGAATTCTATCATATTCTATATATGTATGATTCCCACATGTTTTCTAAGACAGGAGTCCTGATACATTTTGTCTGCGGCGCTGCATGGGGAGGTGGGAGGAGCACCTCGGACCGCGGTGGTGTTTCGGAACCGCGATGCTGTTGGCGTGTTTTGTTCGGGTTAGGCCGGCAAAGCAAACAGGCAAAATCAAGCTGATGCTCGTAAATCGTGAGCGTATGCAAGGCGAAAGTGACACATTATTTTTTTCAAGCAACATACCACAACTGGTTGGTGGTTTGGAACATTTGGATGATTTTTCCATCATATTGGGAATGTCATCATCCCAACTGACTTTCATATTTTTCAGAGGGGTAGGGCTCAACCACCAACCAGACAACACTTTTTTCAAAATTGTACCATCTGGTTATGTAACATAGCCATGGGAAATCACCATTTTTAATAGGCAAACCATCTGTTTCTATGGGCCATCTATACCATGGCTATGTTAAATAACCAGAGGGTAGCAAATTTCGTAGGCCACTTGCTTTGGCGATGGTCATCACTTGCTGCGAATCGATAAAACCACGCTTTGATCACTTTGAAACCGGAGAATAGAGCCCTTCGGTCATAGCGATTCCCAAAAGCACGGCAGATGACTGCCGCACTTTCATGATTTTCAGTGTTGACCCAACGAAGAATCACGGCGCAATACGGCTATCATATTTCGCTGTGAGTCATTCATCGACATTCTGATGTCGATGTTGCGGTCGCCCACAATTCCATGGGATTCTCTGAAAAATGCGAGCCAACTGAGCCGCATCACCAAATTTTGGTTGGCGCAAAACAGCAACAGCATTCAAATTTCCCAGGTTTCTTTTCGCAAATTGAAGAGGAAGTTACACTTCAAGGAGATGTTGCAAGGCAGAAGCAAATTCAATCAGACGTTTCCCAGTAGAAGAAACTTCAAGAAGACGTTACAAGGTAGTAGCAACTTCAAGAAAATGCCACCACGTGGAAGCAACTTAAAGAGAAAGTTACACTTCAAGAAGATGTTACGACGTAGAAGCAACTTCAAGAAGACGGTACAAGGTAGCAGCAACTTCAAGAAGAGGCCACAACATAGCACCAGCTTCAAGAGAAAGTTACACTTCAAGAAGATGTTACAACGTAGAAGCAACTTCAAGAAGACGGTACAGGCTAGCAGCAACTTCAAAAAGAGGCCACAACGTAGCAGCAGCTTTACAATTCAAGAAGATGTAACAACGTAGCAGCAGCTTCAAGAAGATGGTACAAGGTAGCAGCAACTTCAAGAGAAAGTTACATTTCGAAGCAAATTCAAGAGAAAGTTACACTTCAAGAAGATGTTACAACGTAGAAGCAAATTCAAGAGGATTCAAGAAGATGTTACAACGTAGACGCAACTTCAAGAAGACGGTACAAGGTGGCAGCAACTTCAAGAAGAGGCCACAACGTAGCAGCAGCTTCAAAAGAAAGTTACACTTCAAGGAGATGTTACAACGTAGAAGCAAATTCAAGAGGACTTCAAGAAGATGTTACAACGTAGACCCAACTTCAAGAAGACGGTACAAACTAGCAGCAACTTCAAGAAGAGGCCACAACGTAGCAGCAGCTTCAAGAGAAAGTTACAATTCAAGAAGATGTTACAACGTAGAAGCAACTTCAAGAAAATGATACAAGGTAGCAGCAACTTCAAGAAGAGGCCACAACGTAGCAGCAGCTTCAAGAGAAATGTACACTTCAAGAAGATGCTACAACGTAGAAGCAACTTCAAGAAGAGGGTACAAGTCAGCAGCAACTTCAAGAAGAGGCCACAACGTAGCAGCAGCTTCAAGAGAAAGTTACACTTCAAGAAGATTTTACAATGTAGAAGCAACTTCAAGACGACGGTACAAGGTAGCAGCAACTTCAAGAAGAGGCCACAACGTAGCCGCAGCTTCAAGAGAAAGTTACATTTCAAGAAGATGTTACGCCGTAGAAACAAATTCAAGAGAAAGTTACACTTCAAGATGTTACAACATAGAAGCAACTTCAAGAAGACGGTACAAGGTAGCAGCAACTTCAAGAAGAGGCTACAATGTAGCAGCAGCCAGAAGAGTCAAGATGATATTACACTCCAAGAAGATTTTACAACGTAGCAGCAACTTCAAGAGGACGGTACAACGTAGAAGCAAGCTCAGGAGGACGTTGCACAGTATGACGTAGGTGTGGCAACTGAAGAGAGACATGGGTAACATGACGTAGATATGAGAGCGTAAGATGACGCGTCTGGGGGATGCAAGAGAAGGACGTTATTAGCCCCACCCTTCCCCCATCAGAACCAAAAAAAATGTGAAAACACATATTTACCACGGCGAATTGTGAGCCGTGGTCCAACTACAAGTGAGGCTTCATCCACTGTGCCAATACCCCGTTCGAGTCTATCACATCCGTCCATGGCACAGGGTGTAAAGCAACATCACTGCAACTTGCCAAAATATGTAAAAGATACAGATACAATCTTTTGAAAAACAACATCTTGTGGTCCTTGGCAGTGCAACAAAAGGCATGACCGCGAAACAACAACCACTGAAATTTCGTTGCATAGGGCCCGAAACCAAGGAATGGACAAAAGACCTTGCAACCTGCAAGGTGTGTGGAACCAACATCAAACATGCAGCACTGGCTTGCGCTCGTCAAGAAAGTGTAGTGGTTTGTACGCAGTTTCTGGGGAAATCACAGCTCCAGTGGGCTCAATCCACGCCTCTGCCGCGCAGATCTCTTGCCGCTTGCCCTAAACGGACCTTTGGAATGTTCATTGTCTTCGCTGCGCGGGCGATATGTTTTTTTTCTTGCGTTTTTGGTTTGCACATGTTTGCACTAAATCTATATTTAGAACTTAAACACGTGTTTCTGATTGGTGATTGGTTGTGTTGTTTTGTTGGGAACCCCCGTCCCTTGTCATAGTCGACTTGCCATGGGTTTTGGGACGCAAACAAACACCTTCGAACAGATCGTTGGCACTAATTATCGACACCTTCGGCCGCAAACAAACACCTTCGGACGTAACGTTTGAAACACATTTATCAACATATGACAATAATGTACGTATAAGATTCGAGAATCACAATAACTTTCAATTAAATTAAAACATGTCTATTTGTGTTATAGCCCGGAATTTTGGGCAACCTTTGGTCCCAATTCCACGACAGATGGACGGAAATTGTGGCTCGAGCACGCTCATGACCTGGCAACTCAAAAGCACGCCATCATCCCGTGAGGGATGACCGAATTCGTGGTGGATGATGTGGCTAGCGGTTGGTACCCCTCATGCAGGAGGGGCGTGAGGGGCGCGAGAAACTTGAGAAGTTGCTCCGGGGCCTGCGACCAGCCCAGTGGAAAAAAACCACGATTTTCGGGAAGGAGGTGGACGTGCTACGCGCAGCTGCCACCTTCTCGGACAAGCTGGTCACCTGGCAGTGCAATCCTCATGAGGCCAAGACGTTCGATCAGATGGCCTGCGACCCGCGGCGCGGCATCCTGATTCAAAGAACCAGCCACTGGGCCGGAGAGATTGGTGGAACTGATGTTAGGTCGTGAAGTGCGGCGCGTGGCCGAGATGGATGACCACGTTTGCGTGGAACTGCAAAGCGGAAGTGGGTTACGGCTACGAAACTCTATGCTTCCGGGCGGACGAGGAAAGGCGTTCCAAATGTCTACAGCCCCATGGGTTTCATGTCCCGCAAGAGCCTCCACACAAGGACCTGTCTACAGAGATGGCACCATTAAGATCTTCAGGCCAGGACCTCTTTGGATAGGACCCCACCAGATCTCCACATTTTTTTTTGGGCCAAAACTTGTGCAAGACTAGCAGGGACTTTACCGAAGATGCCGGCAGGATTTTCACACTAAGGACCTTTGCAGGATTTTTCGCGCGCTTTTGACAGGATTTCGTCAGGATTTCCACTGGATCTTATCACAGAGACCTCTGCAAGGCCTTGGTCAAGATGCTCTTGTATTGCGGACCGGTGAGACAGCACCATGAAACCCTTGCAACAAACACTTGCGAGATTGCCTAAGACCCGCGGTGTCAGTTGTTTAGGTAAGTAGCATGACCCCTGCATGTAGCAAGGGTGACACGCACAAACCACTGTGCACTTTGCAGCCCTTCTTTCAGCGTCTCAAAACAGTGCGCAGCTTTTCATGGTAGCGTGGAGCCTGTGCTGGGAACTGAGAAAAACAACCCAATAAGTGAAAGGGGACCCAGCGGAGTTCCAAAGTTCCCAGCCAGGACGGCTGAGGAAGGATCGCCCGTGGACAAGGCAAGGGCGCTGAGGCTGGACATACGTGAGTCCCAGCTGAAAGACCTCAAGGCCAGACTACAGCCTTTAGAGGAGGACCGCCTTAGGAGACAGACAGAGAGGATGGAAAGAGCGAAGAACGCAAAGAACCCAGAACGGGACAGGAGACAAGAAAACCCGAGCAAAGAGAGGGCAGGAAACTCAGCTGAACAAGGCCTGAGAAAGGTTGTGAGGGAACCAGGAGAAAGGAAGAGGATAAGAGTGCGGGACGCACTAGGGTTCCGAGAGAGGACTGCCGGGACCGATCTAGGAGATCAGAAAGGGGGACCAGGAGCGCAGGACGCGCCGAAGTACCCGTTAAGGAGGAACAGAGAAGCAGGTCAAGGAGATCTGAGAGAGAAAAGGAAAGGACAGAAGGTCCTCTTAAAAGAGAGAGAGAGAGAGAGAGAGAAAGAGAGAGGACGACAAGCAGTCCTAGGAGGAGAAGGTCCAGTCCGGGACGGACTAGGAACCTAGAAGAAGGACCGGGACGATCCAGAGAAAGGGGCGATCTCGAGGTAGACTACGAGCGAGACTCCGAGAGAGAACCATCCCAACAGTGGGACGAGGTCCAAGAAGAGGAAGAAGGAGCGGACAACTGGTCGCGGTTAGAAGACACCCCACGATACTACCAGGAGGACTGGAGCTGGAGCAGTTGGGACTGGAATTATTGTGGGACACTTGGCAGCCCAACTACTACCCTAAAGGAGAAGGTAAGAAAGGTAAAGGAAAAGGAAAAGGAAGTCAAAGAGCAAAAACGAAAAGGGCAAAAAAAAACAAAAAATTGCCCCGTGGAGAAAGGACCCAGAGTACAAAGGAACTACGCAAGTGACGCAGTCAACTCGGTCAGTACCAAGGGACCGATCACCGAGAGAGTGGCGAGACCCATCGCCCAACCCGAAAACAGGGAACAAGAGCATGCAACTTGGCAAGCTTTTGACTTTGCCCTGAGAGCCTACCTTGTGGCTTTGGACGAAGGATTGCAAAATGATTTTGGGGTACTAAGGCAAAATCCGGAGACTTCGGTGAAGATGGATGAAATGGAAGATGGAATTAAGAAGCGAGGGACCATCTTGTACGCAGTACTCACGAGCCTAGTACAAGGCCGACCACAGAAAATCCTGAAATCCATCCAACAAGGAAATGGGTTTGAGTGCTATCGTGTGCTAGCTGCTCAGGCTACGCCACAGCTCAGAACACGAGCACTTGCGCTTTTGCAAAGCATCCCCCAGGACACGTTCAGCAGAACTGCGGCGCTGACAGAAAATCTCCAACGTCTGGACGGTTTGGTGAAAGAGTACGAAGGAACCAGTGGTGGCAAGGAAGTAGGAGATGACATCTTGGTTGGAGTGCTTCTCAAGAACGCGCCTGCACAAATGCGAAGCTGGCTACTGGGTCACTTAAAGGAGGACACTCCGTACAGCCAGGTCAGGGAAGCGGTTCGGAGTTCGGACCTGCAGACCTACAAGTGGGCTGATAGCATCAGCTATTACCAAAAGCACCACGAAAGAACATCTACTGATGTTGTTCCTATGGAAGTGGACCGTATGGAGAAAGGAGGAAAATCAAAAGGAAAAGGCAAAAAGGGTAAAGGAAAAGGCAAGGACGCCAAGGCAAAAGAACCTCACAAAGAAAGGTCGAGTTGGTGTTCGAGGCATCAACTGGACAAAAGTTGAAGGTGAGGCAAATGGCCACAGTGGCAGAAGCGGTACGACAGCCACTACTGAGTGCAGGCAAGTTCCCGAAGAACGGATGGACGCCTGGGAGAGATGCTAATGGAAATTTGCATTTGAAGCACGGCCGGGACGGTTACCAAATCCCCATCCACTACTCGGGAAACAGCTTAGCTGTGAAAGTGGAGGTTCGGCGAGTCGACCAGCAGTATGTGCGCGAGATTTGCTTGGTACCGAAAGCCAACAAGATCATTGAGGATACGTGGTACTACGTAAATGGAATTTCTACGTATGGGTCGGAGACGGACAGACATGTCACATGTCGATGGCCGCAAACAGTTTGGAATCTCAGACTACCCTTACCGTACGACAATGATCTTGGTGTCTGACCAGGAAAAGGGACAATATCTCAATCCAGTATGGAGGCCAGATGAGGAAGTCTGGAAAATCATTCAGTGTGCGGCATAATACGCTGCAGAAGGATTTATGGTGGAAACGAACGCCCCAATACCAGATCTGGAGGGCCCGACGCAAACCCTCACGATGTTGCACCTGGTACCGATGACGGAGCAGGAAGTCATTGCACGGGTGGGAAAGCCAGCCAGGAAAGAAAATGTACAGGAAGAGGACTTGGGATCGGAAAGGCCCCATGATGCAGTGCTGGTACAGCCGGCGGAACCGGAACAGCAGCTTGTACGAGCTCCATCGGAATTCGAGGCGATTACCTATGGAGAGAATGTGCTCACCGCAGAGTCATCGCTGCGAGTGATGAGAAGGGCATGTCAGTTCTACGGACTTCCCGAAACCGGAAGCAAGAAGGAATGTTGGGAAAGGTTGACTCGATTTCTTGCAAATGCAGAACTTGATGCAGCTCTGGAGGTGGCAAAGCAAAGACGATCTGGTCAGGCACGGTGAAGCCATACCATTGCCTAAGGACGTGAACCCACAGGAGAAGGAGCAGCATGAACTCACTCATCTGCCCAAGGCTCCATGGTGTGAGTGATGCATGGCCACCAAGAGCAGGGAGGACACCCACAAAAGAGCAAGTCTCAAGGACATTGATGACCGGACGATGGTGCATATAGACTTCGGGTACATCACGGGTGAACCCCAGAGTGGTGACGAGAACGCACCCAGCACCACGTTCTTGTGTGCGTTGAAAGCCAAACAAGGTGGGTGGTGGCAATCCCAGTTCCAAGCAAGGACGAAATACGTGGTCCAGCAGTTGGTGAATGCCACGGCAGGATATGGAGACATCAACCTGCTGATTCGCACAGATCAGGAACCAGCATCGCAACACATAGCCAAAACATGGCAATCTTCAAGAGCTGCGATGAAACTCAAGTCGCACATCCAACTTGTTGCAGTGGGACAGCATCAAGGACTGCTGTCAGAAAGGTGCGTCCAGACGGTACGTCGACAGACTTTGTGTCTCATGCATGAACCGGAAGCCAGAACTGGAGTTACCGTGTCTCCAAGTTCAATACTGTGCACCTGGGCCTTGCGGCATGCAGGGTGGCTGTTGAATCGATTTCAGCCTGCAAGTGGCCCTGCGAGCTGAGATTTGAGCGGCGTTACGCCGGCAAGTTGGTGCCATCTGGGACCACAGTTTTTGCGAGAACCCTGCCGGGAAAACCAAAAGGTATTGCCCAGTTCGAGAAAGCGATCTTTTTGGGCAAAAACGAGGCATCAGATTCATTTTTGGTGGGTACCATTTCTGGCACGCGTGTGGCTCGAACTGTGCGCAGGAGTGTCACGCCATACCAAACCGAAAATTTGATGAAGGCCAAAGGGGTACCATGGAATTTCCAACAAAAATCAATCGGAGTGAAACTGAGATGTCAAAAGTCAATGCCTATGCTTGGCACAGTGCCCTTCGTAGACGAAGACGCTGAAACAGTCAAAAAAACTGGCCAGGAACAAATCAGCAGTGAGGCCGCCAGCCCGAACCGGCCAGATGCACAACATTGCATCCGTGAACTGGCAAGTCACCTGGTCAGACCAACAGAGAGCCAGTACCGACAGCTGGAACACCTTACGTGCTACCTGAAGGGATCAGCTGGATACGCTGTCAGGCTTCCAAAGACCACACGTGGACAAAGGGTGCGGAAACCCAATTTAGAAGAAAATCAGCAGCCAGAGGAACATCTGCTAGAGATCTTCACTGACTCCGATTGGGGTGGCAACAAAACAACACGCAAGAGTGTCTCGGTGGCACACTTGTACTGGAACGGTACATTGATCCACACGTTGACAAAAACCCAAAAGGCGGTCGCACTGTCTTCCCGTGAATCTGAATATGTAGCAATGACCACCGGAGCATCAGAGGGTGTGTTCCTGAACAATTGCATCGAATTTCTCACAGGAAAACGCTGTCGAATCGTGTTGAGGTGTGATTCGAACAGTGCGCGAGCCTTCTGCCATAGGCAGGGAGTGGGCCGAGTCCGCCACATATCCTGCGGATTGTTATGGCCGCAAGATCTGGTGCAGCAAGGAGACTTGGAAGTGAAACCAGTAAAAAAAACGCAGAAAGGAAATCTTCAGACAACGTACAAGATGCTCAGAGTATTCATGGTTTAATCATTGCTGGAGGAAGCTACCGCATCCCCAGTACAAGGGTTTGAGTCACAGGGCACGGAACCACTGCCATGTGGTAACATCTTAAGGACAAGAGCTGGAACCAATCCATTTTGGATACCGCTGTTGATGGGATTCATCACAGTGTTGGCAATTGGCCTCCTACTCATCAAACGGATCTGCCGAAGGAGAAGCCGAGAACAGGCAGCGATCCAAGAAAGGGTAAGGGATACTGCGAAGGCCATCCAAACAGTATGGGATGAAGCATGATGACACCATTGTCCATGGAGAAAGACTGGACAGGCTTGAGGCCAGAAATGCAAGGCTGCAGGAACAATCAGCCATTGCGGAGGAACATCTGCAACAGCTGAGGAGTGAGGTACGTACACTGCGTGTAGCCATCCAAAGGCTAACCCGCGAAAACCCAGGATCCGTCATGGTAGTCCAACTTGATGTACCGGGACTACGTGAAAACATCATCAGACAAGCACAAGAGAGAAGGATTGAACGCTCAGATCAAGAAAGATCTGAGGAAGAAATCAATGAACCTAGCGACCAAGGTTCAAACTGGGATCCTGAGGAAGAGGCGTTTGGAGACAACGCCCAGGGTGGATGCAAGAGTACCGAAGCATCCAGGCATATGAAAGGGACCATGGCCCACTGGTCAGTCCCACAAGCTCTCCAGTGGCAGCACTTCGGAACGAGGAAGAAGAGGCCACTGAGAACTCAAGAGAGCTTCAACCGGAAGAAGAACCAATGAGAGCCGGGCACTAGCTAAGTGAGATTTCGCCAAAGTGCCATCCAACTGCTAGCAGCTGACCTAGCAGCAACAAAGGCTGCAAGTTTCAGCTGAGGCGGGGTGCCACTTGTTGAGGTAAGTAGCATGACCCCCGCAGGTAGCAAGGGTGACACGCACAAACCACTGTGCACTCTGCAGCCCTTCTTTCCGCGTCTCACAACAGTGCGCTACTTTTCATGGTAGCATGGAGCCTGTGCTGAGGACCTAGTTGGCCGCTGTTTTTGCAAGCAGTTGCTGCGCTGGGTACTGGCGCCAGGGAACTGAGAAAAAAAACGCAATAAGTGAAAGGGGGCTCAGCGGAGTTCCAAAGTTCCCAGCCAGGACGGCTGAGGAAGGATCGCCCGTGGACAAGGCAAGGGCGCTGAGGCTGGACATACTTGAGTCCCAGCTGAAAGACCTCAAGGCAAGCTGGTCATTTGGCAGTGCAATCCTCATGAGGCCAAGACGTTCGATCAGATGGCCTGCGACCCGCGGCGCGGCATCCTGATTCAAAGAACCAGCCACTGGGCCGGAGAGATTGGTGGAACTGATGATGTTAGGTCGTGAAGTGCGGCGCGTGGATGACCACGTTTGCGTGGAGCTGCAAAGCGGAAGTGGGTTACGGCTACGAAACTCTATGCTTCCGGGCGGACGAGGAAAGGCGTTCCAAATGTCTACAGCCCCATGGGTTTCATGTCCCGCAAGAGACTCCACACAAGGACCTCTCTACAGAGATGGCACCATTAAGATCTTCAGGCCAGGACCTCTTTGGATAGGACCCCACCAAATCTCCACATTTTTTTTTGGGCCAAAACTTGTGCAAGACCATGCAGAGACTTTACCGAAGATGCCGGCAGGATTTTCACACTAGACTAAGGACCTTTGCAGGATTTTTCGCGCGCTTTTGACAGGATTTCGTCAGGATTTCCACTGGATCTTATCACAGAGACCTCTGCAAGGCCTTGGTCAAAATGTTCTTGTATTGCGGACCGGTGGGACAGCACCATGAAACCCTTGCAACAAAGACTTGCAAGATTGCCTAAGACCCGCGGTGTCAGTTGTTTAGGTAAGTAGCATGACCCCTGCATGTAGCAAGGGTGACACGCACAAACCACTGTGCACTTTGCAGCCCTTCTTTCAGCGTCTCAAAACAGTGCGCTGCTTTTCACGCGGAATCGAAATACGCAAGGTTACAAAAATTCACAAAGAGTCATTCGACGCGAGAAATTGGAAAATATGCCGCGCCACGGCGGCGCGTCGCAGAACCTAGCCGTATACGTTGTGCGAGCCTGTGCCGTGTAATGTGCATGGACATAGCACAAAGGCACGTCTGTGCGAAAAAAATCTTGGGAAAATGCCGCGCCCCAGAGAGCGTACCCTGACTTTGTGCAAGCCCGCGGGGTCGAAACGCACATGAACATCGGAGAATGTTGTGCCGAGGTCTTCAAGGAGTTGCGCCTGCCACGAAAAAAAGAGCCCGAGGCAAAATTTGCCGCACTTTGTGCGAGCTTGCGCAGTCCAAATGCACATTGACACCGCACAAGAACAATTTTTCCGCGAAAAATTACCGCGCAGTCGAAAGTCATGGACATTTCATAACAAGAATTTTTTTGCGAGCATTCGCAGCAAAAATACCGCGCCCCAAAAGAACGTACCGTGATCTAATCCCGGCCTTTGCCTCTTACCCGAAGAATTCCGCGGTGTGGACACTCTGTTTAGGGGAAGTAGAAAACGTATCATTAAGAGAGGATGCGCTCAAAATTTGACCCAATAGTTTTTCATGCTTTAGTGTTTGCAAACTCCGTGCCAAATTTTCGAAGACACGTGTGATGGCAGAGTTTGCAATAAAACCACCTAATCGACACAACCAAATCCCTTCGTTGCAGAGATCACACGCTCTTGCAGCCCCATTTGAGAATGAAATTGATTTACCTCCTTGATCGGAATTTTAGCTGCATAACCATTTGATTTGAACGTTTCGGCTTGAGATAGGCATGCTTGTTCATGTCTCAGGAGGGATTCAAAAACCCCAGCGCCTCTTTAGGTGGGTTACCCCTCTTTCGATCATTGTGATGCTGGTGGCCATTACGCAGACGATGGCGATGAGATTTGATCGTGGTTTGCCTTGGTGACTGTAATGCCTTGCCTTTGTGAATTTAGACGGGGTGCGTTGGTGGCCATTGCATTTAATCTAAGAAAATCGCCTTGGCACCACCTCGGAACAGGAAATGAGAGGAGATTCCTTTGCACAGTGAAAGTTCACAAAGACGACGTGCCTTCCCCGCACAATGTATCCGCATACTGGTTCGGAGATGCACCTGGAAGGAGGGCAGTGCACCGGGCTGGTCTCTTCTACGGTGGGAAGCACGCAAAACAACAAAATGAAGAAGACCGTGCCCACCCACAAACGGTTAGACGGTTTGTTTTTTTAATAAACTATGATTTTCGGATTCCCGGATGGATGATTATACGACTTTCATCCTTTTATGGCGTGACCTTTTTTAGGAGGATTTTTTTTTTTGGGTTGGTGGGAGTTTAGATGCAGCTCATGCAGCTTCGGGGTTATCGTTGGAGGGAAAACATGATGAGAAATTGGAATGGAATTAGGGCCATGGGGGATAATGTAGGGAGAAATTGTGTCACAAACTGAGCATTTTTAAAGCAAGAACGGCAACCTGCAGATCAACATCCATGCGGGCGCGCTGATGATTTTTGATATGCGCATCGTTTGTCTCAGTGATTTGATAGAGTGACCTATCAATTAGAACGAAACAAATCCGGTCAAGAAAATGCGAACTAATGACTGTGCTCAGTATTTGTCCAGCATGTACGCCGATCTTTCTGTGACGTCACACCGTTTCCGGCTCCATTCTTCAGAGAAGCAGGCATAAGAGCTTTCCAAAGGACTGGACCATGGATGGCTTTGGAATCCGCGCCAAGCTGTTCACCCATTCCTTTTTCCAACAAAGAGAGCCGGCCGTGAACCGTGCAATGCTCAAGATCTTGAAGGATTCCCTTCACAGTGTGTATTAGGTTGCGTTTCTGTATTGCACGAAGCAAAGGTATCCAAAATGTATATAAATGTATCATGTCATGTTTTGGCCGGACATCCACTTGCAAAATTATTTTGTTGTTTGCCAGGGTGCAAGGTTTTGATCCGATCCACACCATTTTTATCTTCCGGGTCACAGTTGAGGCGAGCCTTCTTCCAGGGCACTCTACCGGCTCCATCGCCATGACCACGGTGGCCGTGCCAGGCCATGTCGTCGGGGTTGCATCGAAGCGGCCAACCAGTGGAATGGTTTGAGGGAAACGGAAAACGATGAAAATGGACAGGAAACCCAAGGATTTTACCAGTGCCCTCCGGTAATCAAACATGATTTGCTGGAAATTCCATTGTATAAATGATTTCCCCCAACATTTTTTTTAAATGGGGGATTCCCATTGTCATGTTTGATTGTCGGGGGTAAGTATAGGGGGAACATCAATTGCATGTCAACCAATTCTGGGAGCCAATACTTATGGGTGCAATCCCACACTATCATTGAACGGGGTCATATCCCAACTTATAAGGGTTATTATTGCCACGGCTGTATTCATCAATAACCCCAACGGCGCCCCAAACTATCGGTGGACGGAGGAACTTGGTGGAATCCCTGACTGCGGATTCCAATGCGCCCAGGTAGATAGTGCGAACATATTTGAGACATGTATTCATGTATAGGACAAATTTGATAGCGATGAGGACGAAAAATTGATGATCAGAAACCACCCGGTTTCTGCCCAACTGTGGCCCTTGAAACTAAAACTGCTGGAATGCAAGTTGGCATGGGAAATCGTGATGGGTTCTTGGATTCGCTAAAAGCACCATTTGGAGAATCTTCTGAGAATTTTCCTTCTTCGTTTTTGTTTTTCATGGGCAGATCGCTTGTAACTGCAACAACAATATTTAACAAGTAGTTTCTGCTCATTTTTTTGCATCAGCTACGATATTTGTCTTTAGCAAATCATCATGTCGTATCGTGTTTTACGATCGACTTGCATGGCGTTCAAGTCAATTGAGTCGGTTTTCAAGGCGACCCCATATTATTTGTGGCATCTGCATATGCAAGTTAGATTTTCAGCTGCATGCTGAAATGCAATTGAGATGTTAAATTGCATTAGAAACAACTCAAAATCAACGGGCTCATCACTGGGATGCAACCGTGGGTTGTACCTCACCAGTGATCCCAATCCATCACCTACAATTGCATTCCATCACACTTGTTTAAGGCGTAAGAAATATCTCGAATTTTAGTACGTGTTTGTTTCATTTTTTCCAGTCTTACTGGGTGAACTTTGGGTTTCATCAGTGTTTCCCCTAACAAGACCTTGGTGGCGAACTGCGCAGGTCCCGAGGCCACAGCCGTGGCCGCAGCCGCAGCTGCGAGCCTCGCCGCCGCAGTGAGAGCCGCGCGCGCAGCCACAGCCGCCGCAGCAGTCGCAGTCGTCACAGCAGCCGCAGCAGTCGACGACGCAGCAGCAGCGTGGAGCGAGAACGCCAAGCGGAAGCTGGGGCGCGACTTCTTTTCTGGCTGATTTAACGGTTAGACAAGTCAGGAAATAATGATGTTCCTTTTCCCACGTCAAGTGATTCCTTACCCGGCCTTACCCGTTGGGAAACGTCTGTCACTGGCAGGTTCCCCCCCCCTTGTATAAAGAGGTTTTTCCTGCTGTCAGCCCGCCCAGCCCAATGTCCAGCTGGCAGAGCTGAGTTTGATGTCTCAGTTTGACATTCTTGTCATTTTAGGAATTAAATAGCCATCGACATGTAACTCAAAGTCGTTCAGCAGGTAGGAATGTTGTGATATGTTAATGGGGATATTTCGAGACTATGGGGATATTTTGTTTCTTTGATGGATTTAACATTCGCAATGTGGTTGAAACCATGAAATTTTGATTTGATGGGAAACAAACGGCATATCTTGGGATTAGGATATAAAGATCATCATAAACATAATAATCATAATAAGTGATAAACAATAAGAACAATAATAATTATAATAATGATAATAATCAAAGAATAACAATAATGATAATAATATGGTAATAATAATAGTAAATAATAGTAAATAATATATATATATGTGCGTATGTATGTATGTATGTATGTATGTACGTATGTACGTATGTATGTATGTATGTATGTAATGTATGTATGTATGTATGTATGTATGTATGTATGTTTGCATGTATGTATGTATGTATGTATGTTTGCATGTATGTATGTATGTATGTATAGATATAGATATAGATATAGATATAGATATTAATATAGATATAGATATAGATATAGATATAGATATAGGTTATAGATATAGATATTGCTATTGCTATTGCTATTGCTATAGATATGTAGATATGTAGATAGGTAGATATGTAGATATGTAGATATGTAGATATGTAGATATGTAGATATGTATGGGGATTTAACCCTTATGATCAAATGCAATGGAGACAATATGGGAATACAATGGGGTTTTGAAGTGACCATGAATTTCCGATTCGATCACAGATGAAGGGGATTGAAAGAGGAGTTACTCAGTTGGATCTGAGGGATTCCCATGCAGAAACATACCATCAGGTGATGGTGGCCATGCGACGGATTTGCAAAGCATTTCCTTTTCACTATCCAAATTCTTGTTTCCAATCTTCCAGCCGGATCTTATCCTCTTGTAAACTAACATCACTATGGAAAATCACAACCCTTAATGGGTAAATCAACTATAAATGGCAATTTTCAATAGCTATGTTTGTTGAACCAGAGGGTATATCCCATTAAAATCCCATGGAGTCACTATACAACCCAATTAAATCACTATAAATCCCATTATATACCAGGGGGTGTCATGTTTTTAGTGCTTCACCGGGTAGCCAAGTTGCTGTCCAAACTCATGGCCTTGCAGTTGAGGAGTTTGCCAGCCGATGGCAACGCCAAGTTCGCCCTGAGGACCCGCATTTAATGGATTGGTTTAAAGGAAAATCTTCACCGGAAACCATGATTTTTTCACATTAAATATGGGGTTTTCCTGTAAATGTTCCCTTAAACTAGCCATCTTTAAACCAATCCATGGACACATGGAGATCTGGAATGTCCACCTGAAGCAGTTCCATCTTTCACCCAATTTCGGTGTTTGCTCAGTTGCATGGTGAATGAACACCCTGCCAGCAGCCGGTGCCAACCACAACCGGTGGATCGCAGGACTTGCCCAGGAAAGCACCACCCAGGCCTACCTTGGGGAACTACATTCATTTTCCAGAGGCAAGGAAGGGCTTGAGCTTCTGCAATTTCCCAAGTGCATTGATGGGCCCCGAGCCAGCAAAGTGTCATATGGAAAGGACCCTGAATTCAAATTCTGGGAGCCTGCCTTTTTGCCACCTGCTGGCTTATGATGATCGGAGCTGCTGATCAGACCCTCAGCTCGCGCGAGCAGCCGAATGATAAACTCCATTGAACTTGAGATCGTATTTTCCATGTTCCCGCTATTTCCGCATTCAGGGGTCAAACCACTTTATGACTGTGCCTTGAGATAAAAATTTGGGATATCCTCCATGCACTTATGAAACATATGAAATTCAATATCTGGTGTGGCGAAAGGTTCTCCCCAACCTCGATCTCCCAACGTGACCTGAGATGACCACTTCCTCTTCAGGACAGCAGTGGCTGCACCAGCGAAACCATGCCGCCCTCCACCAGCAACATGGCTCTTCATGAGTGGTCAAGTCATGTCCCAAACTGGATCAGTTTTGTGGGTTAGTGGAAGTGCCTATCCACTTTGCAGCTGTCACTTTTGACAGCTGCATGGCACTGAATTGCCAGATAGTCTGATTGTTTGTTCTGAAGTGCCAGCACAGGCACCGCGGCACCTTTCCGGTTGGGCCGTAGCTTTCCGGTTGTTGCCTGACACCTTTTTAGGTAGCCAAAGCAGCGCTTCAACATCTTTGCCGAGCCCATCCTTGGCTGCGCTTCGACTGAATGGCGGAGGTTGTCACTTCCCGAAACTTTTTTTGGTGCCAGATATCAACCAGATATCCACCAGATAAAACCATCATTTTTCTGTGGACAACGGCAATCTTTGTCCGCGCCAAGCGTGAGATCAAGTATGTCCAGTGCTGGTAGAGGTCCCTGTACGTCGATCGCACACACAAATGTATTGTGCTGGGGGTGCCAAAAATATGTCAAATCGGGTCATGCCTGGGAATGTGGCCAACACATGTCAACACAATAATATACCACCCCCCAAATCACAACTTTTATAGGTGGTATAAATACAATTCATTCCCAAATGGGTGGTTATTTTTGTTTCACCCACATTAAACAAAACATGCTGATCTAAGTCTCCGTCCTGGCCCTTCACCGCTTGTCCGCACCCCCAAGGAGGCCACGCACGTCCGCCATGCTGCGGCAGGCCGCCTGGCAATCCAGACGATGGTGAATATCTACCCGCACACAGAGTCACACATGTCAATGTAGAGACATTTTTTTTTTTGGTGTACACTGCACATATATGTAAGGCGCATATGGATTTACAATTATGGATTTATCAGATGGTATCGCATTGACAAAAGTTTTTCACTGCGTGGGTATGGAGCCGCCAAGGCAAGGTGCCGCCGAGGCAGGCGCGCAGCGGTGGGCAACGCGAACGGAAGTTGCAGAAGAAACTTTCCAAGGCGTGGACCCAGGGGCCATCACGGGCTGTCAGGAAAAGGTTCTGAAAAATTGGGGGGGTTGGAAAACGATCCAAAAACCATGGCTTTTATGTGGTTAATTATTAAGATATCATAGGTGTACTAGGATGGTGCTGTCTCAAAATTTGGGACTCCGACATTGGTTTGAAACCTCAGTTTTCCCAATGACAATGTAGTTGGTGGTTTCCAACAGCATTTTCCGAATGGGTTTCCCCAGCCCCCAGGCTGCGGCACCTGCTGCTGGAGCGTCGCAAGACGCAGTACCGCGGGAGGAGCTCTTTCGTCGTTCCCCGCTTCTCCAGCAGCGGGGATGGGGTTGGCGTTTTTGTGGGGTAAGGAAGGGCAACCACCAAAAAGATGGAAATTGGATGAGTTTGATAAATTTTGATATCATATATAATAATCATATCTGATTATCTTTCTAAATATATATATATTGCAATTTTAAAGTCTAGAGTCTAAACTATAGTCTATCTTTTTGGAAGTTGCCAGAAGATGATTTGACTGGGTAAACCAGAGGGTATCATCATGTATTATCTGAACAACATATGTTTCGGGTTTGAGTAGGTGCCTAGATTTTAGCATTAGAAAATGGGAAAGAAAATGGGCGGAGTATAGCACGAACATGAAACTGGAAGTAGACAATCCAATCAATGTAGGGGGAAAAATGCAAAACAACAACGCTGAGGAGATTTTAGCCAATAGGAAGGCCATTTTGAAAGAACCTTTTACCAACAGTGGCCTCCAGCTTCGCAGCTGTGTGACTTTCCATCATTTTCCATCCCTGCCTGGGATTATAATCCCGAAAACGCACCGAAAACATGGACATTTGTTGAACCTCAATGGGTTGAAGCGGGATTTCGCCTTAAACATGCCACGGGTTCCTTGAGCAAAGTTGAGCATGTGGTTGGTCATGGCATAGTTTCTGATGTAATGAAAGGATATGAAAGGTGTGAAACTTGTCACGTCCCGGAGAAGAATCCCCTCATGGGTTGAGATTGCAACACCCTTGAGGTATTGAAGCACAGGAGACTGTCGAAGAAGAGCGACCCAGCGAAACTCACGTCTTTGCAGTGTTTTGTCTTTGCCGTGTGGGAGGGGCGGAAGGCAGGGTGTGGGTTCCAGACAGGGCACCCAAGATGGCGGGTAACAGTATATAAATTGGTTGATTGAGCGAATTTCCAATGTCATTCCTGGATTAACCCAAGATTATCCCTATTGAGGGGGGTGCCCCCTAATGAATCAACATTTGTTGATCCATTAATATCCATTAACTGGTGGGTCTCTTAAATCATCAACAAGTGGTTGTTGTTGGTGACTTGGATGTGCATCTCACTCAATAAGCGGTTTATAACCCCTATATAACTGATTATATCCCATATGTAACTGGTATAATATGCCGCAGAAACATCACGTATAACTGGAACTGGCCTTGGATTGTTAATATCGTTCTTCTCCAGCAATATCCCAAAATCATGGTTCATAACCCATGATTTTTGAACATGACCCCAGGGTAAACTAACAGTAACTAACATCATGTCGTGGAAAAGCCAGGATTTGTAGATCATTTTCCATCATTTTCCATCATGTTCCACATTTGTTCAATGGGAATTGCAGGATCCAACAGATGGAGGTACTTTACCATTTATAAGGCCATATTTTGTGGGGATATTCCCTGAAACTAAGGCCTCAAAAATAGGCCTTATACATGGTAGGTACCTCCAATCAATCGGTTCCTGAAATGGCCAAGGCCGCCGAACGGAGCCTCGGGAGCCTCGAGGCTGAGCTGGAGAGCCACCAGGATGAGACTCGGTCGCTGGCCAGCTTGACCGAGCCGACGTCTCTGTTGGAAGGCACCGTTCGGCCCATGAATGTTTGCGGAGACCCGGCCTGGTATTTTTGATGGAATTTATAGTGATTTAATGGGATAAAAATCGTGATTCAATGGGATATTAATGGGATGTACCCTCTGGTAAACATAGAAAAAACTATTGAACATAGCCATAGAATCTATAGAAATAGTTGATTTACTCATTACACATGGGGATTTTCCACATGTTAGTTTACCAGCTAACTTTGAAATAGATTTTCCGTTCCAATCTGAATGTCAGTGAATGTATGGATATATATATATATGATATGTTTGAAATATGTTCAGGTGAATTCCAGTTGAACGTGAAGATGCCCCCTTCGCAAGCTTCGGTTCGGTTTGTTTCTTGGAGGTTCCCGCAGATTTCATCAACAACTCCCGGCATCCAGGCCGGCGGGTGACCCGTTTTGATGAGACATCGACCCTTGAAGCGGACTTGGAGGTGGTGAATGAGGAGGAAACGGGACGTTCGGAACTCAGATTTTTTTGTCGAAAACGGCGAAGTCGTGAGAAAATCTGGGCATCCAACTGAACCATAGCATGCCATAGCATTCCAACCCCCCTAGCTGCGCTTAGTTTTTACATCGAATAAATTAGGGATGCTTTTCCGTGGACATCCAATTTTCGGCGTTGATGCTGATTGTCTATAAACCAAATCCTAAATAACATCCTAAATCTAATGTAAGCATATTATAAGCTACTCCTACGTCTAATACATTATTACACTACACTCTTATCCTGAATCTAATCAACTCCAATCCAATCCAATCCAATCCATCCATCCATCAATCAATCAATCAATCAACATTCATTGGTATATATTTTTATATAAAAAGACATTATTATAGCCGTTTTGGTATGTTTTGGTTACCTAAACCACCTTTTGCCAATGCTCCGAGAGTCTCAGGCAACGTCCTTCAAGACCTTTTTGCCGATGAGCCCTGGCGCTTGCAGCTCTGCGGAGATGCCTTCGGTGAGCTGAAGCAGCTGGGGAGCACGCAACAGAAGGCGCGGTATGGCGCGTTTTTTTTTCGCCCAGTCATGGGATAATCTATATTAATAGTGGTTAATAGTGGTTAATAATGGTTGAACAATGGTTGATAATGATAATCAATGATTAATTATTTGGTGGGTGGTTTGGAACATGATTTTTACCTTTCCATATCTTGGGAATCATACGGAATCATCATCCCAACTGACGAACTCATATTTTTCAGAGGGGTAGGTATACCACCACCAACCAGTTATAGATGGTTATAGATGATAGTACAACCCAGAATCACCAAAAACAATTTGAAGATAGAGGGGCAACAGGAATATGGTAGAATGATGCTAGATGTGTTTTGGTACCGTTTTGGGGTCCAGTTAGAGAAACCAGGCGTTGGTGGAGTTGAAACTGCCGTGGCAGGTGGTTCTCGAAGTGCTCAAGGCCCGGTTCTGTCCGTCTCAGGTACTAGGGGAAGCTAGTAGTGGCTTCAGGGTGCCTTTCTTGTTTCGATGTTTGGGACATAGTTCATTGTCATATATAAATGATATATATAGTATAATATTATATATATTTCATATTATATCATATATAATACAATATAATATATATTATATATTATATAATATATACTATATATATTATATAATAGATATAATATAATATATATATATTATATTATTTAATATATATTATATAATATATACTATATATTATATAATAGATATATAATATATATATATATATTATATTATTTAACATATATTATATATTATATATTTTATATTACATATTATAAATTATATTTATTATATATTCATTATATATATAATTACACATATATATATATGCATCAATGTAAGATGGGATTTGCATCATCTCAACTGCCTTGACCTCACACTTCTCGCCCAGACCTTGGCGTCGGGCACCTGGCCGGAGCTGTGGAAAAAGGAGGTGGGCAAGCCACAAGGAGAACAAACTTCGATGTGCTACAGGCTTTCGGGGCTTTCGGGATCGATGGTATGGTGGTCAGCTGGGTATGGAGTCAAGGGGGAAGAAGAATGAAGTCTATTTGTTTTCGCCACATTTTCGTCAGTGAAATGCTGAAGAACTTGGCAGGTGAGCTCAACGTGCTGTGGGGACAGGATCTCAGATTTTGTCCGAAGTGGGCGGCTATGGGAATTACTTGGGGGTGCAGTGGAGGCTTTTTGGATGGGTATAACATGGTATAACCATGGTATATAAGCCCCACCCGTTTGGGATATGGGGCCCTATCACTATGGTCGGGTACCGACTGAGGCATTGACATGGAATACTCCCGCGAGCAGAAAGCGTTCACAGAGGTCATCCAGATTTGGCATGTGGTACGAGCCTAGGATGGCAGCAGCCAGGTGCCCATCTTGGTTTCCTCACCCGAACTGTGCTGTACATGAGTATATCAGATTGTATCAGGTAAATATACAAGGTGGGGCCCCCAAACGATAGCGTTCAGTTGGTTTGCAACTAGATGAGCGAGCGGTGTTTCAAAGGGACCTAGGCAGAGTTTGTATAGTCGTTAGGGTTTGAATCTGCCCAGGAGCTGAAGACATTCAGAACAAGGCCGACACCGTGCTGCAGCAATGGCGGGCCACCGACCGGAAATTCGAAGGCGGGACACATAGTTGTATGATGAGGTGGAACATTTCTGCATGTGATAGTGATGGTATATGATAGTATCGGATGTGGGTTTTTTGGGGATGCATCTGAATAGGGAACTCTTTGAGAGCCAAGAATCCAGCTACGCTTGGAAGAGACAGGAATGGTGAAGGACATGGTAGATGAAGCGGAGGATCTTGTGTGGTAGGAATTGTGGTTCTGCACGGGTTCTGGATGCGAGCGCTATTGAACATGGTAACACTCTGAACATCTCTGAACCATCTGCAACTGTGATGTGTTAAGATATGCCCCACAAATAATCCACTTAGCACCGATCCCATCAAGCACCGCAGCCAGGTGTGAAAAAGGCGCTCCGGAACCAACCGCTGCAGAAAAAGGGCCAGACCCGCTATCCGCGCAGCGTAGCCGAAAGCGAGTTGCAAGACAGTCCCGTGGCGCCATGGGGGAGACTTGAAGCTGGGCAGATCTGGTTCAAGGTTGTTCGGTTTACCCTCTGGTAATTTAACATAACTATGGAAAATCACCATTTTTCATGGGAAAAATCACTATAAATGGTGATTTTCAATAGCTATGTTAAATTACCAGAGGGTATATATAGGTTTATTGTGTTCTAGTTCAGAGAGCAGTAATACTTTCGTGCAGCTTTGGCTACCATACATCGTTTCAGCATGTTTCAGCGAATCAGATTGGAAGAAGCATTGAAAAAAACATCACCTACAAAAACTGGTTTATGGGTTAATAACCACTATAATGGCTTGATAATGTTCCAATTATGGAATAATTATGGACTAATTAATTCCCAGGCAGAAAGAGACCGCATCACGAAAAAAGATGGGGATGGGCTTCGCCCACCCCAGGTGACGTTTTCTCGGTCCGAAAGTTCTTCACGTTGGACCAGCAGATGTTGCGTTCCATTACCATGGAGGACGAGCATGCAGGCAGCTCTGCAGAGGGATTCAGCCCCAAGTTATGGCTAAGTTAATGTATTTTAATAGGGAAAATGATTGCTAATCAACGGATTTTTGGGGTGTTTTTTGTTGGTGGATGGATTTTCTCAAACGTTTGGATGTTTGGGTATTGAAACGAAGTGGTTTTATCCCTAAAATTGGCTGGTCAGATGCAAAAGAGTCCAGTTTTGTGGTCCCAATGCTGCCTCATTTGGAAGAATAACATGTTCACTGGCTTGCTGATGTTATGTTACAGAAACCCAGGCAAATTCCTCATGGATGGGGACCGCCATGATGTATAGCCGAAAGAAAACAAAAGTTTCAGGGCTGCTGGTGATGCATGTTGGGCCGCCTACTTACAGTCCCAACTCGGCCCAAGGATTGAAGGGAACCATATCTATTTGGGTTTTCCCACAATAGGAATAGCAACCCCAAACAGATAGAAATTCAAAATCCAACTAAAACGATGATTACTTTTCCATATTTTTTCTATCTTTTTTGGATCACTATGCTTGTATACCGTATATTGTATACCCCAATAACCAATGGTTTATTATCATTTCCCTGTTAAAAAAAACTACCATTTAAGTGGCTATTTGGTGTTAGACACCAGTTCCTTCCACCCCAGTAGCACCTCGTAGCGTCCTCTTAGATCCCTCCGTTGAGGCGCCGCAGAAGAACAGTAGCTCAGCAGAAATCTGACGGATGGCTATGAAAAGTAAAGGATCCTTCGAAAGTGCGGATTTTGACACACCAGTTAGGGGGATTTACTCTAAGATAAGCATAAGTAACACACCACAAATGGGGTATGACACACTACAAAAATCGGGATTTTACACTTATGGGGATTTACACCAAACATGTGGGGCTTGATTTTTTGATATTTTTTGTAACCTATGGAGCCCGTGGATGACCAGCAGGTTCGCCCTTCGAGTGTCCAAGCGGGAGGCGACCGTCATCGAAAAGCAACTTGGTGGCGATCTGTGGTAAGTCACTGGATTCAACCATCGAACGGGATTTCAATGGTAATCTGGTTGGTGGTGTGGAACATTTTTTTTCCAATATTGGGAATGTCATCATCCCAACTGACGAACTCCATCATTTTTCAGAGGAGTAGGGCTCAACCACCAACCAGACTGGGATGTAATGTTGATTTCATATGATTTGGCCATAAAACATGGGAATTTCATAGGGTATTCATGGGGATGCCTTGGGATATGTAGGGATTTAACTGATTTAACCATTTTTTTCACGGGATACAATGGGAATGTAGTGGGATAAAGAACCAACACCATAATAAACGGGTCTGTTCGGAAAATTGATGGTTTAACCCCAAATTGCCATTAAATCATAGGGAACGTGGTGATTCACCATGAAATTTGGGGATACCCTGTTCTCAGACAAACCCAACTAGTAAACCCAACTTAAACAAACCTTCATTGTGGATCATTCAAAATGGGGGCATATATCCAATAAATCAAGACGAACTTGAGGATGCTTTGTCACTGGGTTTCCGGCATTACCTCAAACTCGGGTGGAAGTAGATTGAGGTTACAACCCCAGTCACCCAGTTATAAGTGTCCCATCTTTGGGGTACATGACGTGTCTGGAACTTAGCGTTATTTGCAACAGGGGTGCGCCAGTATCAACCACCATCACACTGTAGATTCAATACAGCAATAATCAACCACCCATATTTTGATGGTTTAGTTTATACCATCCATTTCTGGAAAAATTGGGGACGGTAACCATCGTCGACTAACATTCCGTAGAGGTCTTAAGCTTATGGCCCTGAAAATCCTTAGATCTAGGTCCAACGAAGGGCCCTGTCTTGGCCGAGGAAGGGCCCTGCCATTGTCATTGGGCGCAGTGGTTCTGGCAAGACACTCTGTGCTGTCCTCAAGAGTTGGGAGCCAGGAATGATACCCGGTGAAAAGCCATGGCAGCCATGGCGGCCATGGTTGGGCAATTACAGCTTGTTTATAACCACCAGTTGAAGCAAGCAGCAATAACCTTAAGGCAGTGTTGGCCATATGAACTGCTGAACTTGGAATGACATTTTCGGCACCAGTGTGTAGCCTTATCAACTTGTCATGGGGAGCTGAGGGAAGAACATTTAGATTCACACGGTGACCGCCAGGCTGCGTGTATCGCCTGTTCTTTCAACACTTGACGTACTGGCAGAAATCTGCCAAGGCCTGGGGATAAAGGATTCCCAAGTCATAGGATAAGTGGCTGGACATTGGATTCTGTATATATTTAGGATACATAGGCACTTACCATCCAGATGATTCAAAGCTTGGAGCACCTTCCCTCAGGAGCATGTATCCCATATTTTCTTATTTGAGGATTATATATATATATATATATTTACATATATAGAGTTGCTGGGATGATTGAATTGCAAGATTTGAAGGTTTTGCATTGGTTTATGCAAAATTGGAAATGGAGTCAGTTGTGGATAACTGTGGGGTCTAGGTGTTTTTACTCGAGAAAAATCAGGCTAAAACGAACTTACCCCCTATCTTTGTGGGACAGTTTTTTTTTTTGAATAGTTCACCAAGCTGGTTACTATCCCATTGTGGCCTTATTACAGAATTTTAGCTGAGTGAAGTTTATCTACTTAGATCATCCTGGATTAATAATTTTAAGATATTACCACATAGCCTCAACGATCATCCCAGCTCCAAGCAATGGACGTGGGCAACGCTGGACCCTTGGCAGGCTGATGGTGCGGCACTGGTGCCGACGGGCAATGGAAACGAACTGGTCCATCTGCACCAGGCGCTGAGCTTTCCTGGATTGGCTGAGTCGATTTTGGGCATTTTCTCGATGGGAAATCCACTACTTAGGGAATCTATAGGTTTTTGTTCATAGTTTTTCTCCCTCTTTTAAAAGTGGGGTTCCGGATCAGCTTAAACCCAAGTTTTTGATGGGCATTTGTGAAATTACCGATGTCACACATGAACACAAATGTAGACGTCAGATATCTTTTTAATGCATTTTAATACATGTTCTTATAATTGGCAAAGGCCAGTAGCACATAGTCCAATAGCAAGTGAAAGTTACACCCCCCCGGTGGAACCTGACAACTGGGATTAAACCATCCCCGATGCGGGGCGGAACCCATCCCAGGTCTTCGTAACTCACTCTGCCAGCCTGGCCAACAAGGCCGGGGATTATCCCTGGGGATGGGGGCCCACCGGGCCCACCGGGCCCACCAGTGGGATGCGGATGGCCAGGTGTTGGAGTACTTCTCCAACCTCCAAGCCCAAGCAGCTGAGGCGACTGGGCTACAGACCAAACTACTGGAACAGACGAGGTCGGGCTGGGTTGGCAAGTCATGAAGCTGTCAATCAGTTCCTTGTGTGTTTTGTCCAGTGCGTGGCTTGACATGGGATTATCCAAAACCGTCGAATACCCAAACAAGTTGTGTTTTTTTTTCTCGGAACCAGATGATATTTTTCCGGAATTGGGGATATTGTATTCTCAAACCAAAGCCATATCTTTGGCAAAGGTGTTGATGACCCCTTTTTTCAACCAGCCAGCGAACGACCATCCTGGTGGCGGAGGCTGCCCGATACCTTGAAGGGGCTCAAGACCTTCCCGTTGTTTCTCACGATCCTTGTCAGATCATGGCGGGGAGACGGAGTGATTTCATCCGGCGGTTCAGGTGGACCGTTGTGGTTGGAAATTGGAGACCCCCAAAATCCACTAAAGTTAAAGCAGATAGTCATCATTTTCCTCATTGTTTGATGATGTTTAATGGCAATTTTACAGTGAAAAAGAAAAACATCAGTTTCAGACACGTCCGCAACTTGCATCAAATGATCATGTTGGTTACATCGTATCGCCATGTATCTCCCATATTCTATCAGACTATGAAACCCATTGATGGTTTGATATGTTTGATCCGCCGCAAGCCTCTCCTTTCCGAGGTTCCGGAAGTTTATCATTATGGTGGATGGCACCTCGCCACATCCTGGTCCGCTCTGTGGACGAAGGATTTCTTTGAAGATGTTTTGGGGTGTCCATGGGTGTCCCAAAATGAGGGATTGACTGTGGTAGAAAAGAAACATCCAATTAGGGGTATGGTACGGCCATTTTCAGAGAAGCCCCTTTTCTGAACATCTACCTGTAACTTATCCTGGAAGCCACAGAGGATCCCAACCAAAAATCAGGGCCGCAACGGGGTTCGCAGATGTCACCTGTCGACTTTTCAGGTGGGATGCCAAAATCAAGTGATCCAACACTAAAACCACGGTTTCTAGGGTGGTAATTATGGGATATGTGGTGAACTGTGGTAAACCTAATATAGAATCGAAAATCCCTGAGTCTACCAGGAACGAGTGGAATAAACCTGCCAAATTTGGAGGTGTATTATTTGGTTTGCTACATTATCACCATCATAGTCCCCATTGTTGATGCAATTCCCTGCTTTTTGATGGTTAAATCATGTTAAATCCAAATTTTTGATGGTTGAATCATGTTAAATCCCAATTTTTGATGGTTGAATCATGTTAAATCCCAATTTTTGATGGTTGAATCATGTTAAATCCCAATTTTTGATGGTTGAATCATGTTAAATCCCAATTTTTGATTTGATGGTTGAATCATGTTAAATCCCAATTTTTGATGGTTAAATCATGTTAAATCCCAATTTTTGATGGTTAAACCCACATTTTTTTGCTGGTTAAATCCAGCCATAGATGTTTTTCGGGGCATGCAGAGGCTCGCCATGGCTCGCCTGAACCTCTGCCTGAGCTGCTCCGAGGCTCGCTGGAGAAGCGCTTCTTTCCGCGGCGCCATACGGGTCAGCTCCACCCTGACAAGGCCCCGACCAGCCAAGATTCCAACTGGTTGGTGATGTGACCTTAGCACCTCCAAGAGGTCATGCCCCCCCCAACCACTTCTAACCTCCAATCGAAGTTCAAATCCCTTTAAAGATTTTTTTTTAAAGTTGGCACTCTGAATGCCATATAACATCATATAACACTATATTTACCAGATATGCACCATATATTCACCATATATTCACCATATATTCACCATATATTCACCATATATTACCCACTGGTAATTTAACGTAGCTATTGAAAATGACCATTTATAGTGGATTTACCCATTGAAAATTGTGATTTTCCATAGTTTTGTGTATGTTTACCAGAGGGTACCCACATAACGACACGCATCGGGGATCTTAGGGCGCCAGGTCCTGATGGCCGAAGCTCCCGATGCCCTGGACCCCATCAGCGCCCTGCGGGAGCACCACCGCACCGCGCAGCGGGCGCAGGCCGTGAACCAGGCGAAGGCGACCAGCACCTGGGGCCCCCCGTGGGCCCCCCGGGATGGTGCCCGATATCAATGCCTTGGGCCTTGGTTTTCATGGGAAAATTCACTGGAAACTATGGGAAACCATGGGAAACCCACCATATTTTGATATATTTTGCATGTTTCATGGGAAAATCCGTGGTTTCAGATTTTGCCTTACACAAATTCCATTGACAATATGAGATTCGAACAATTTTTCGTAGCCACCAAAATGAATAGATACAAAATTACGAAAGCCAGCCGGACAAGCTGGCAAGTACAATTTGAAAGTTATTGAATGTTAGGGGGTAAGTGTCAAAAAGGGGGGCATGTAACTCAGCCCAGAATTTGGTTAGCAGCAAAAGGGCGCCTATAACTCTTTGTATTTTATTTTCACCCAGTCTATGAAGGGGTTTATGTGAATTACTACTATTAACATGTAAACCAACCCCAACATATTAACATCTCATTTTGAATCACTATTATTATTATTATTATGATTATGATGATGATGATGATTATTATTATTACTGGCAGAAGTTTTTTTTTTAAACGCATAGTGCCTCATGGTGGTGTCTGAATGGTGTGCGCGTGTTTAGATCGCCGGCTCAGACGGCGAGCTCAGAGAACCAGCGGAAGACGGAGGTGGACTACGAGCTCTTCAAGAGCAAATTCTGGCCCAAAATCTCGCCCCATGCGGCTGGGTCGAAAATTGACATACCCTCCGAGTCATCCGACATAGCTATGTGATGGTTGGTGGTGACTGGAACATGTTTTTTTTTATTTTTCCATATGTTGGGAATAAAAACATATCCCAACTGACTTTCACTCCATCATTTTTCAGAGGGTTAGGTATACCACCAACCAGTAGCTATGTGATGCTATATGGAAACTAATCATTTCCTTAATTATATTATATATTCACAACAATGCTTGGATGTCTTTTGTGATCTTGAGCAATTGGGGCCATCAGGAACGCGAATGCAGTAAGCAGAATTAAGTAGATGGGAAATTATCCAGCTGTTATGACGATATGAGTTTCTGCTTACGACTCCGACCCATAAGCCTCTGAGTCAAAATCTCGAAGTTGACCCCAATTTAGCCCATTTCCATGTAGTAAGCAGAAAAGTCTCTGCCTACTAAGCGTCCCAGACTATAAATCCTCTACAGATGAACCATTCATTTGGTGCAGCTTCTAACCAGTCACCGCCTGAGGCGCCACGGGAGTGCGATGCATCGTTGCTGTGGCGAGAAATCCAATCCTTCATCAAGGGATCCTACAAAGTGATGGACCACGGCCACGGCCCAGCGGTGGTTTTCTCATGTTTTTTGCCCAGAATCCGGTGGAAATCCATGGATGATATGGATGTGGTGGGCATCTTATTATCATATGGTCGTGATGATAGAATATGATAGAGAATTATTAGTTGCAAATTATTCTTGTTGGGAACTTTTGGGCGCTCATTATTTGTAAATCTGGATATATCTGGATGATGAATCTTGGTAAATATCCATATGCACTTTTGTAGCTTGTGGTATGTAAGCACTGCAAGCTACAACAAAGATATACCTATATGAATTTTGGTTGGTTTTCCCCACTATATATCTATGACATATGTGTAAAAGATATGCATCAAGTATCCACCTTATAAATCCTTATAACTTATAACTTATATATGTTTATTAACACCAACTTAAAGGATATTCATCCACACAATGCATATGGCATATATAATAACCTAGATATATCATGATATCACCAGCCCCTCATAGCGCATCCTGCAGGACACGGAGGAGGGGCACTTGAGCCTCGCCCTCTACGAAGAGGTGGCGAAGAAGGCTTCCCCAGGCTTTGAAGACCACCGACGTCAGTGGAAAGCTCAGGGGATTTGGGGCTGGGTATACCCATAAAACCTAAGTGGTGGTTGTTAGCATCTGTTTTTTGGGGATTTGGTTCACAAATGGTGGGTTATGGTGGGGTGATGTGTGAAAATGGTGGATGTAAGTTGTACCCCAGGAAAAATGGGTTTGTTTCAGCCACCAAAGACGCTTTGCAAACTGTTGTCATACTACCAGAATATGTAGTGGTGTTTCCCAGCAACAGAGCTGTATGATTTGGTACGTAGTGTCGAATGGAACCCCTGACAACCAAGGGATTTGGTGGAGTAATGGGGGGTTAATGTGTGAAACCCATGGAACAAATGGCGTTTTTATTTCTCCATAGGTTTTGCCACCTAAGATGGGGGTTTAAGTGGGCAAATAGGTGGATACCTCAGTTTATGGCATTTTGGAAGTGGGGAAAGTTGGGGGTTTCAAATGGATGGAATGGAGGTCTCTATTTTTGACACAGGATGTTAAGTGGACCAATGGTTGATGAAATTATCACCTATGACTGATGATTTTGACGTCAATCTGTGGCAAGCATCCGGTCGTTGGATCAAAGATGTCTTGAACGGGTCCATTTGTAGCAGCACGTGTTTCATCATGGTTTGAGGGTTTGAGACATGACCAGGTTATGTGGAAATTTAGCAACTGTCCATCCGTTTTCAAGCCATATTTCTGAAAATTTCCCAGATGTTCAAGATTTTACAAGATTTTTCCCCCAGATTTTTCCTAGTTATTCCGGAACTTAGGATCTACAAGGCGTTCGAAGCCTACGAACAGCTGCGCAAAGAGTGGAACTGCTTCGACAGGAGTTGTACCTCCAAATCATCCAAAATCAGACCATTTTAGTGTTGAAACCCATGGTTTTGGGGAAGCCGCCCCAATTCACCGACTTCAACACTTCTGCTCTGCCAGTAAAAATTGGGATGATTTTTGCCAATACATCCTCTCAATGACAGTTTCTTCATTTTTTCTCTATCACCTCGCAGGCTCTAACCATTTTTTCAGTCCCCAACTGCCCCCTCAAGTCTGTAATATCATTCACACATATATATATATCCCATGATCTCACCATGAAATCCCATAAAATCACCATTTTCTATCCATTTTCCATCCCATCGTCCCGGGGCAGTGCCTGCAGGATGGACGTGAGTTTCCACGTGCTGAAAGAGTTGAAGAAGCGGCCCTACGTGGGGCCACCCATCCATTCCGTGGCGGTGGATGAAGTGCAAGACCTGGCGCAGATGCTTGGACTTGGTGGCATTTTTTGATGACAGAGGCATGGCCAAAGTCACAAACTGGATATATAACTATATATGATATTTTAATATATATATATATATATAATTATATATATATATACGTATACGTAATATGATATATTCATACTATACTTATATACATATGGTTAATTGCAGATGTATAGGCATAAGAGGCCACAAGGATGTACATATTTCTGAGTGTGTATGCTCTGTTGAGCACCGACATGTCATAGTCATCTTGAAGATGAACGTAGTTCAATAGCTTTCTCTCTCCAGGCTCACAACGACAAAGAACATCACACAACATCATACTGGTATATGGTATTATATGGTATGGTGATACAAATATCAACCCTTTGATGCAGTTGTCATGCCTGATGTGATGCGCCAGCTCTGGGTTTTGGTTTTGGTTCCCTCCAGTCGAGTGAGGATTGAGCTGGCCATCTTCTTCATGATCATGAAGAAGCCTTACGAGGATCTGCATGGGAACTGGGAAATGGGCGAGAAACTGCGGCGTCCAAAAATCCAGTGATGGCTGGCTGATTAGAAGAGCACTGAAAAACCATCGAGAAGAGGTGGTTCAATCAAGGAACATTTATTCCCGAACAGCCGTCCATAATGGAAATGTATTCCCCAAAAGAAGGCTTGCTAGCTTGAAACATCCCGCATTAATGAGGATAGTGCCATCATTACCAGATGGAAACCATCTTATTTCGGGGATAAAGCTAACCAACAGGGCATTCCCAATCATGCGCCCAAATCTTGCCAAGGTTTATCTGAGTTATACTTTATCCCCGATTTTTCAGAGTGATTCCAGCCCCCCAAAAAAAACACACACCAAAAACATTGGGGCATTTCCCAAAGACGACGCCCGGCTCACCAGGAGCTCTTCATCACAGGTGACACCTCCCAGACCGTGTCGCGCGCCGTGGACTTTCGCTTCTGCGATCTGCGGTCGCTGTTCCACCACTTCGAGGTAGCGGTTCCGGAGCTGGATCAGCTGATCATCAACTATCGCTCGCATCAGAAGACGCCTGGATGGGGGACGAATGATGGGGATGGGTTATGGTTTCCCTGGGAAATGGATCAATCATTTTTTTAAAAAATAAATAAATAAATAAATATATATATATATAGACATGGTGGGTTTTGGAGTACGTTGAATTGCTAGGGGGTATTGGGGTGGGGATGGTTGAGGGAAGATGTTGGCAGTGGGGAATGTTGGGCACGGAGAAACGGGTGGGAGTGGCTGGATTCGATTGGATTTACATCATATCCCTGAGAGGCAACAGGTTTGGATTCCAGGTGACATTGTGATGAAGCTCCCAAATGATCACTGCAGGTTGTCAAGACATTTCTTTTTTATGGGGCCAGTGGTTTCAAGTGGGTGTGTCTGAGATGAGGGGATGCCCCCCAAATGGGAACATGATGATCCGCCTTCATTTTTCCCTCCCATCCCATCAATAAAAACAGCACCAGGATGATGCTCCCAGACCCCCCAGACCTGCGAGGATCCTGGCATTGTCGCACAAGGGCGTGGTGCGACTGCTGGAGTTGGCCTTTCCCCACGCCATCGACAAGTTGCAGCCGGACGAGGGCCATCGCGACGGACAGAAACCCGTGGTGGTGGATGATGTGCCACTGGAGGTGCGGCCTGGGCTGCTGGACCGGTGGTGGGGTTTTAGGTATGACAGCCCCCCATAAGATAGAAGTCGATTAAGAAATCCAACTAAAGTTATCTGAAGTTGCAAAGACAGTAAAGGACCTTGAGTCTTATTTTGGGTTCGATTTTTCACTTTTTTTGGTGATTTCTGTTGATTTCCATCATGGGATGACAGCCAGGACCTAGCACAACACGTCTTCAACTTGGATGGCTGCACCTGGGTCTGCACGGTGTCATCAAAAATGGCTGGGAAGACGCCCGCACGAAAAACCGATGGGTTTTCATGTGGAAAATCCTCTGCAAATGGATTTAAAATTGCCATGCTTGATCGTTAAGGGTTTTTGACAGATGTGTTTTCTGGCAATTTTGACGTCCACCAGTGGAGAAAACTGTTTGGCTATCATCTTTGAAGCCGCATTTTTATCAACAATCGCAAGCCCAAATAGTCGCCTTCAGGTAGATCGGTAGATCATTCAAGCTGATCACTGACCTCAGTCCCCTACAGTGAAGTTGCTCGTCCATGCTCCTCCATGTTCTTCGACTTTTTGCTCCCAAGAACCTGGCTATGAGGCAGTGCAGGCATTGCCTTCGGTGCCAGCCAAGTCATCCTGGTACCAGACTCGGGATGACATGTCCAAGCTTGCCGCATTGAGATGGACGGATAGGTGGGTCACTCTTCCGAGCTCAAACTCAAGCTGTGTGGCAGTTCATTTCCTCCTTCCGTCCTTACTTTCATACCTTGTGTGCATTCATCCTGATCCTGGTCCTGTGAATTTTGTTGACTAAGATTGAGGATCCAACCTCCATCCATCCCCAAAGATGATTTCATCCCAACAAAAACTACTCAGAAAAAGTACAACTTACTGCAAACAAATTGGGATTGAAGCTTAACACACTTTTATGTGGCGCCGCCCCCCAAGGTGCGCAACGAAGAGTCGCGCGCACGGCTGCCGCCGGCCCTCAGGAATTGCCTGGTGCTGACGGTGGAGGAAGCGAAGGGGCTGGAGTTTGATGACGCTGAGCAGCGGATGGTCTGGGTGTGTCTTAAGATTGGCATATTATTTGAAGTGGGCTTTTACACATGTAGAGTTGGATTTGATATGATTTGATCATGCTTGATCCGTAAAACTGGGATGAGTCGGACTCGGACATCGTGGTTCGATTGGATCTACTTGCGTAGCTTTAGCCATACACTGGAGAATCACCCAGCTTCTGGCCATTGAAAACGTTGGGAAATTATGCAGAATGGGGACAAATGGGGATTTATGGACCGCCCAAATTGGTGTGAAAATTGGTGCCCATGTGAGGATTATCTGACAACAGCTAGTAGTTTGAAGAAAAACATGAAAACAGATGAGGTAAGTTAGTTACTTGTTGTGATTTGGGGAAATCGACTGCGCCACGTGGTGACATGTCCTGACAATGTATATGGTGATCGTACCTAGGCGGCTCCTCTTGGTTGAACGTCTGCTGGAACCATCAGGGTCCGAAAACTGCAAGGATGAAGGCAATGCTCAGTCAGTCAGGGAGTCCTACTTCTAGACCTTTTAGAGTCTTACCCTAAACATTGAGGATGGTTGAGGCATTGATGGGGAGTCTCAACTTGAGGGACTGTTGCAACGGTGCAACAAAACTTGGATGTTGAGGATTGCATCTTGGTGAATTTCTTCCGGGATTCCAATTACAAGGAGCAGCTGAGCTGAACAACTGCCCAGGGGGAAGTGGCTGTGGGCTGCACTTTTGTTGAAGTTGGCTGCATGTCATGACAATGACATCCACATGATTGAAAACTACTGGATACTTCGACTTTATTGTTCAATATTTTTCATGTATGTGCGACGATGTACGCAGAGTTTCTTGGGGTTGTGATATGTCAAGTAGCCTAGTGCTTTGCTATGATAATTTTCAATTTTTGACCCACTTGCACATGGAGCCAGTTTCCACTGGGTCTGGAGGTGGCAGACAGTGAAGATCTTTCTGCAAGAGTTGCTCGACGAGGATTCCAAGGCGGTCCCAACTACTTGGGTTTGAATATGGCACTTGGACATATCTATCATGTAGGGCCATTTGCAGAGTCGCAACTCAGCCCTATCCAGAGCCAACTATGTCTAACAATCTTTGCTATTCTTTGCTTTTGTCGAATGTTTTTGAACATCATTTACTGTAACAACCTTTTTCCGCAAACCCATTTGTCAAATAGGTTTCTATTCTACATATCCTCCTCACTCGCAAATATAGATTCCCAAAATGGAATTGCCAACCCATTTTTTCGATCGGCTTTTCATCCCCAGATCGCAAAAAGTCACTCGGGCAATCCATTGAATATGTCTTAGTAAGTTTACTTCATCATTCTTTCATCACTTTTTCTATCATTCTTTCCCAATTTGCACAATATATTATAATATATTATATTGTATACATCATTTTTCACCATGTTCAGCAGGTTTCCGCCATCCCTCCACGTCCATCCTACAGTTCTCAGCACCACCGCTAGGACTCCGAGTCCAAGCGACCGCGCTTCGACAGGCTACGGCACACCCTGCTGTGCTCGGAGCTGAAACATCTCTACACCGCGATGACGCGCACGAAGCATGTGTCACCTGGCGGGGTTGGGGAAGGATGTGGAGGAGGTGGGGTGGTGGAAACATGTGGGAACCAGCAAACATGTACAAACATTGGGATGAATATAAGCAGAAGAGGGAAACAAATGGGACATATGTGGGTAAGCAGTAAACAGGAAAGAGTTGGGTAAACATGGTAAACCTTGCTAAATGTATGATACATATAATATATGGCTATGGAGACGCCACGTGATATCTCAGCAGCTGTGATGAGTTGAGGCTGCTGATCATCGAGGAGGACAAAGAGCAGGCAGATATGGACGGCCCTTGGGATGTGCCACAGAATGTAAGCGAGTCATGTAGTCATGTGGTTGGTGTTGTTACATGTTGTTACACCATGGACTATAGGTGTTTCCTGTGATTCGTGGTTCATCCTGTGATGTAGGTGAGCTTTTTGGTAATGGTGAGCACTTGGTGATGATTCTGGCACGTGTGCGTTAGTTGCAAGTATCTTGAGTCCAGTTTACAAGAGACTGAGAGTTACACGACAGTGGAGACAAGTAGACGATACTATCAGAATTTCGGATTTGTAGCGGAGACCCCCTTCGCTTCTATTGAGCATGAAATGACAAGCAGAACCATATGTGTCTAGCACCATCTCTGCGGTTGTCAAGCGTAGGACCTGCCGCAGCCAACAGCACCAAGCCTGTCAACTACTCTGTCGCAAATGTCAAGATGTCGCCTATCAGCCTTGGTTCGTGCTGTAGGGCTCTTGGTTGTTGTCTCACTTGTCACTGAATGGCACTGGGCACAGAGCGTGGCAAAGCCCACGGTTCCTGTGACCGCATCCGGATATGAACGACGCCTAGGAAAATTTGAACGTCGCCTTGCGCGGCTTGAAGGTCTTCTTGACAGCATCGTGCGGCCACCACTGAAGTTTGTCGAAAGCAGTGGCAAGATGTACCGGTTGCCTTTGAGTGCAACAGATGCTGAAATTGAGGAATGCAGCGCAGATGAGCTGGCGTATTTGAGTGGATTTTTTGATGGGAATGGGTGCGTGAACTTGCACAAAAATGGAACAATCCGGCTCCTTGTCGGTCAATCTGTTCGAGGGTTGGATGTGCTGCTTCGATTCCGAAGAGCATTTGGTGGTGGTATCTATCGCCTGTCAGACGGATGTGGTCGCACTAATCCAAGAATTTCTTGGACAATCACAGGGGCCGCTGCAAAGCAAGCAGCATTGCTGCTTGCCAGAAATTCCCTCACCAAGAAATCCCAGCTATGCTTGGCGATGAACGGGAATGTGGCCAAAGAACGAAGAAGTCTAGCTCGATGCCAATTGAAAGAATTTAAGGCGGCAGACACGGTTCCACACAACTTCAGTATCACCTGGCAATACTTTTGCGGTTTCTTTGACGCTGAAGGGTATGTGAAAGTACGCCCAGATGCAAATTGCATAGAGCTGGAACTTTGGCAGAAACATCGTTCAATTTTGCGGAGGCTGTTGTCATTTTTGGAGAATGAAGGACTTGACAGCTGGAGGATCCATCATAGTCGAAACGAGTCCTCTCTTTTGCGGTGTTCCACTACTGACGTCAGTAAGCAAACCTTGTGCCGGCTTTTGGCAAACGGGTTGAGTTTCAAAGGTGAGCAAGCTCAGATTGCCTTGCAGCTGAATGCCAGCAACCGTGGAGAGATTCGCGAGAAATTGTTTCAACTCAGTGGGCAGCAAGGGCGCTACATCCGCTTGGACTCTGATGGAATGGAGCGTAGCGCAGAGATCAAAAGACAACGCAAGCGCATTCACCGCTGCCGGGATGAAGCCGGACTGAAAGCACTTAGTGAGAAACTGCGGCGGCTCCAGAAGGAGCACAGGCTTGAGAACCTGCAATACACATGCAGGCTGATGAGCTCTGACATCCGCAGGATGTTGAATGAAGGTGCTTCTTTGAAGCCAATTGACCACATATGACCACATGGACAGTGAAAAAAAGTGATGCACTTCTCCCAGGTGCTTGGGGAGTGAGGAGCAGGGTCAAGGGTCTTGACCGCCGAATGTTTGGAGTGGTTATGGTTGGGACTGGATTCATACTGGGTCCAGGTTGTAACAAGTGCCAGTTACAAGATCTTGTGCCACCCGTGGAGTGCCACATGAGACTACGGTTTCTATTTTGCATGCTTGTGCTGAAGAACTTGGTATGTCCGACCAGACCCCTCAAGGGAGCGGTCTGTTTTTACAATGATAGCTAGACTCAGGGTTTCTCTCTTGACAACTGCAAAGCTGTTCAGAGATCACGTTTCCATCCTGCTTAGCAGAAATGCTCGCACCTAGCGCCATGTCCGGGCAGTGTGCGAATCCTTTTTGAAATGATGTTTGCTTCAATCTCCATGCTAGCTCTCGGAGCTCTCGGTAAATCGCCAGGAAATCCTGTGGCAATGGTGTAACGTCTTCTCTACGTTCACACCCAATGACTGTTCCCATATTCCATATTCGGGCAGATGAAGACCTGCATCCCGAACTTGTAATCGAACGAAACCCTTCAACTTCAATCTTTGCAGTGGCTGAGTTGATAGGCGGATCACATGTTCGAGTTGTGGAAGAAGATGGACCTGGTGAACTTCGGCCTGATGCAGGAGGAGAATGCTGAGGCAGGGCCTGCTGATGACTTTGTCTAGGGACGCTTGCTATTCCTGCCATGTTCGGGAGCCAAAGAGCCGAGAAACTCCTGAAATTACTGCGTAGTTGTGGTTTGCAACACATCGCATGTTGCAATTTACTGCAGTTCACTTCCCAGCCATCTGGCTCAGGTTTTAGAATGTTTTAGTACAAGACTTGAGTCACTTTATGCACGTTTCTATTTTTCATTTTTGCTGCCTTTAGGCGAGACATTTGATCCACGAGCACGCGGGCAAGAATCGAGGAAAGGACTCCTGGTGCAACATGGGCCACAACTTGATGAAGAGGCGGGGCAGTCCATTGAACACATGAAGCGACCAGGGAATAAACCGGAGGAATGCAGCAGTTTGCAATCCTAAAGGAATATAAAGAAACGCACTCGTCACAGCAGACTGTCTGAAGTCCTCAGAGCCTTGAACAGTGGTGGGTCATTTTAGGGTGAACAATTGGCATTGGTACATATATTTCATAGGGCCTATAGGGTTTTCCCAACAACAGTCCAAATCTCAAGCTGCCCCAGCCATGCTCAGGCAACTGTACCGACAGGCCCAGAGCGCCTTCCAGCGCGGTGAAGACGAGAACATGGCCAAGATTTGCGAAGCTTACATACTGGCGCAGGAGGCGGCAAGAACCATGGAAGAACAAGAGGCTGAAGGCTGGAACTGCCTTGCCTTCCCAAGTAGTTTCTGGCCATCCACCTGGTTTGAAGGAACCATGCAGGCATGTGTTTTTTATAATCCATTGGGTAAGTTTTACATATATAGGTGAATTCTAAATGAGATCCACGCTATGATAGGGCATCTGGTGCTAGTTTTGCAAATAAGAGGTGCAGCAGTGCAGACCGCTGTTTTGAGTACGAGTATCATATAGTATCATTGTCCACCAGCTTCGATTTTCCGTGGGAACTGGGACCTGCCACTGTAGGCGTGCGTCTCTTCCAAGAAGCCGCCGAGCTCTTCGGACAACGCGGCGCGCAAGAGGAACAGGCGCAGTGTTTGCTGCAAGGCCAACGACCTCTGCAGGTGGCTTGGGATGATGTGGAATGTGGGTGCTTCTCCTGGCAGTTTCTGGAAATAGATCGGAGTTGACTTGTTATCCGCCAAGGTTTGCCCAAAGTTCCACCCTTGAAACTCTCTAGCAAGAGTTGTTTGGTAATCCATTCCCCATTGGACCCCTTCCGCTAATTAAATACCACCAGCCATGGAAGCCAAAATGAATAGATCCAATACAAAACCCGTGTTTTTGGCACCATCCACCTGCCTAACAACCTCGACCCATTTGATATCTTCCCTGCAGGCGGCCAAGATCTTCGAGGAGCTGGGAGATAAGATCAAGGCAGGGCAGTTGCTGGGAACCGTGGACACCTACATATATTTTTGACTTTCTGAAGATGATGTCCCCCCCCCACTGGCAAATGCAGTACTTAGGGAATATGTCGATCTGATATTTTTTGAGGGGTTTCCTCCAGCACATGCAGTATTTTAGTGGGGGATTTCAGGTTATTTATTATTATCCAAGATTTTTATTAAACTATATTAAACTTGGATATCGTTGGGATGGGGGATCTAAAGTAAAGTTGACAAGCAAAAGAAGCAAGATTATATATATATATAGGGTAATTTACTGGGTAATTTTGAACTGGGAACTGGGCCTACCGGATCAAACCCTGTGAATGATGACGCAAATGGCCGGGCGTCGAGGCCTTTCCTTCACGGAAGGGGCTCAACGCCAGCATGGGACCTCCCATATCAACCAGGGGGTTTGTTTCATCCGAGATTATCATGGTTTATTTTAGGGAAATCACCCCCAAATGGCCTTATTTAACGTGGTTAATAGTGGTTAATCATGATAATCAATGATTAATATATCTGGTTGGTGGTTTGGAACATGTGGATTATTTTTCCCATCATATTGTGAATGGAATGTCATCATCCCAACTGACGAATTCCATCATTTTTCAGAGGGGTAGGGCTCAAAACCACCAACCAGCATTAAATCATCCCGCCAAGGCGATGAATCACCCAGTTACCATGGGTCCCACTTTCAATCGTCCCGTTGTGGATGCTTCCTCCCACCAGGCGGCGCAAGCCTACGTGGTGGCCGGGGACTACAAAAAGGCCGCCAGGCTCTACGAGGAGGCGCAGCACGTGCGGGAGGCCGTGGAGAACTTTCTGCAAGCTGAGCCTTGGAAGGGGATGGGATCGGGTTAGAGCGGGCCCCGGCAACCCTGGATCTAACCCTCGAAAGTGGGGGTTTAAGCACCAAACCATGGGGTTTAAACATCAAACTTTAAATTAACATATGGGTAAAACTTGGAGAACCGCTGATTCTATGCCATAGATGATGGTCAACAGGCTGACAAAATTTAAATTCCTACGCTTGGATGGTGGAATTTTTTAAGATGGAAACCGAAGACAGGGTGCACACTATGATTTTCCTACTGGATGTGCACCGATGCTTCTTGGGGATATCCCCCCTGAGGACACAATTACGGTACCTGTAAATCTAAGATTGCATGGTTACATGTATTACTGTATGACCAACCGTTCGTGGTTCCATTTGGCAATCCATTTTCTCACTTTTCCATCCGGGTGTTGCTACCCCGCCTTCCGCCTTTGCGTTTCAAGGACGACGTCGACAATGTGAAGCGCTTGGTGTCGGAGGCGCACAGCAATGACACCCTAAGCACCGAGGAGTGCTTTCGATATTTGCAGGACAGGGCCTTGGAGTATCACTGTTGGGACGGGTGGCAAGAGAGGAATTTACCAATTGGATCCAATATGATCTAATTAAATTTAATATGATTTAATATCAACGGAAAATTATCAGAAAGTTATAGCAAGTTCATGTTGGATTTCGTCAGGCATGTAGGTTTCAGGAGTTTTGATTTGTCTCAAATCCTGCTGTGGAAGTCCTTCCAAATCAAAGCCACAAGGGGCAGTTCCCACATTTCGATATGACACAGGACACCGATGCCCATGATGTGGCAGGCGAACTGTTCTTCAAGGAGGGGAACTATGAACAAGCTGCGTCCTGCTTTCAGAGCCTCGGGCCTTGTGTAATTGACAGGAGTGGCTCAACTGACATACCACTTATCGGAACTTTCAGCACTTTCATACTTACACGGGAGGGAAATATGAAATGGAAAGGTCCCAAGATTCCATACCTAACACCCCGTTAGCGCCTCAGAATTCCAGTTGTCGGTAGTTCGCGATGGGGGCATTTTTTTCCAGAGAAGGCATCTCTGATTGGGAAAAGTCGTTCCTAGCCTCCCGGATTCAGCTGCAGCTCAGGAGTGCTGGACTCCTGCAAGAAGAGGCAAAGTGTCACTTGGAGACCGGACCTTGGGAAGTTCAACCTGAAGGGTGTTGACAAGCGCTTGGACGGGTTTGGCTGAAACATATTGAAATTGGATAAAACTGGTGTTTTCTCATGGTTTTATCAGAATCCAATTAAAAGGCTTGCCGCATTCCTGGTGGAACATTTCTCAAATCGCTGCCCACATTTTTGTCAGGGAGAATCCCTGGCAGCGTCCCAGGCTACCTCAAGTTGGGTCAGCCCCTGCTGGCAGCAGATAGGCTCAGTGCCAGTGAAGATTCGGTGCCTTGACCATGACCAACCGATAGTGGGAAGATCAATGGCCCATTTTGTCATGAGCTTTAACCCCCACAAATTTGGAGGAAAGGATGTTATGTTTTTTTTCTTTTAAAGGACCTTCAGCAGTTTCATTTTTAAGATTTTTAAGTGGCTTCCATGGGTTTCCTTCGGATTTTCGATCAGTTCTTGGAGCGCATGGACCGAACTGGGCCCAGGGGGAATTGCTCCAAGCCGCCAACCTCTACAGCGAGTTGCAGGCAATGGCCAGGGATAGACGGTACAATGTGACTCAGCCATTGCTGTCAATAAAGAAGGATCGGGCGCAGTCAAAAAACGACAAGATCCTTCAACCGTTCGCCCCACATCCGAAACGACCTGATTGCGGCCAAGGAGGAGGTCAAAGAGGTGAAGTGCTGCAGGGCCATTCTGGAGCCACTTGGCAGCTGTTGGTCGGTATGTTGTGGTGGTGAAGTGGGGGTGGTACATGGGGGGCTGAAGAAACTTGCACGTGTCGTCCTTTTTGTATCTTTTTGTTTGGTTGGTCTTGTAGCCTGTAGTGCTTTAATCAAACTCTAAGACTTGAAAGACCTGACAGATCTGAAAGTTGGCTTTGGTTAAAAGACTACCAGTCCGTGGGCTGGATGTAGTGTTTTAGCATGATTTAACCAGCTTAGCTCCTGATCATAGCTTCCTCCCAGCTTCTGTCTGGGTGGTGTATCTACATCACCTCAGGATGCAGAGGATCGACGAGAACGACCTGATGCTGCAGCGCTGCATTCGGCTGCACCAGAGGCCCCGAAATCGGGGCCGAGAAAGGGGTCAGCAGATGGGACCTGGGAGGCTTGTGATCAAAAACAATTTGGGAAAAGAAATCTACAGGATGCAAAGATGGAAGATTATATTGATATTATGTATGGATATGTTATGTGAATAGAATGAGCATAAATTTGTAGAACTATGATTAGGTATGCCATGGTATGCCAGTTTTTGAGCCTGCCAGCAGCGAAGCCTGATGCTACTGTAACGTTCTGTCAGCTTCCAACAAGTGGAAGCGCATCACTTCCGCCATTTCATCAATTTCTTCAAGGCATGCGAAGGCCAAAAATCCATTGGATACGAACAAAAAGCCACGAACACATAACTGATGAACAATAAAACTAAATTCCTACATTGATATTATATTCTGAGATGTCAACCAAACCAATCTCTATTTCAGATATCCAAACGCTTTTCCACTAGACCAAGCTAAAAATTGATATCCGCCTCTCAGGCTCGGGGAGTGGCGCAGTGCAGCACAGCTGTTGGAGAAGACGGACGCGGCGCAGAACTTGGCGACGGCCGTGGCATACTACGAGCAGGTGAGGGTTGGGGTTCCTTCAATGGCCATGCAACAGGAACCGATAAAAATTGCAGGTACCGATTCCATATATTTTTGGCCTATTTTTTAGGCCTATTTTTGAGGGAATATCCCCAGAAAATATGGCCTAAAAAATGGTACGTTTACGTAGCTCCATCAATTGGATCCTGAAGATCTCCCATTGATTCTTTGGGATGTTGGGATCATTGGATTGTCTGGTGATCACACATGGCAAGGGAAAATCCCACATTTATAGTGACATTCCCATTAGAACCTCCATTTCATGGAAGTTTCCCGGTCATGCTTGATGACTGGAGAGTAAAGGAAAATCTACCAGACACCGGTGCTAATTTTTACATGGTCCCAGGAGCTATCATCCAAGATCACCAGCCACTTGTGATTTCTAGACACCGCCCAGCTGCGAATCTAGTGAAACTTCGCTAGCTTTTCGATGCTAGGATGTTGTTCGGCTGTGGTTTCCATTCATGATGCATCATGATGCAGTTGGTTTAATGTGGCAAACCTCAAAACACAGACGTCGCATTTCGTCAAGGTTTATAACCCTGCCAATGCTGCAATTGTGTGCTGGTTGGGGCTCTACCATTTCTGGTTGAACCCGTTTCACTCCCCACGGTCAGGTGAAATGCTTCGAGGAAGCTGGGCGAGTCTGCGAGCGTCTGACGCCGAAAGACATGGACGGCAATCCAAATGTCAACAACCGATGGTTGCACAAGGCGCGTTGATACAGCCTGCAGGGCTGCAGCCAAGATACCCTACAGTGGCCCTACAGTAAACAAACCGGGCAAGGGGAGGTGAGCCTCGTAATTATATAGTAATGTTGCCAGTGGTTCCGATGGCCGAGAGATGGATTCCCAAGCCTTTTGATGATCTGAGAACATGGCACTGGGACATCCGGGGCCACCATTCTTCAGGCCTTACAGCTCTACCGGGAAGGTGGTCACACTGCAAAGCAGCTGCGCGTTTTGGAGCATTTGGGCCAGTGGCAGGCGCGGAACGGATTCGATGTTGGCTTATTGCAGCATTCATTGGCTGCCTTTCAAAAACTGCAGCTTTTGCCAGGAGTTTCCACGGCACCACAACTCGTACTGTAGCATTTATTTTGTACAGTGGTGGGTCATCACTACTCAGTTGGAGCCCATGGCAACTCTCATTTTCAAGGAAGGTGAGGGGTGACATTGCTGGCCCCATGGGAACATGCCCCCATCTCTTTCTCATAATCCACTTCTCCTGCTGGTCACCACTACTTGGTTTGACAGAACAGATGAGCAGTGTTTAAAACCCCGCTTGGTTGATGATGATCGGGGATTATACTAACTGGGGGATTATCACAATCCATGAATCCCGTCCTTAACCAACCAGTACAGTGAAACAACGGAGGGTGTTGAACAATACATGTATCCATAAATTTTTAATTACATATCACATATCAATAAGTGATTGTAAAATCTTGTAAACACTATAAACTTATACTGGTTGGTGGTTTGAAACATTTTTATTTTTCCATATATTGGGAATAGTAATCCCAACTGACGAACTCATATTTTTCGGAGGGGTAGGTATACCACTAACCAGATAAACAACCATAAAATAGCTCAGATCTCAGGAGTGTGGCCAGCTGGCGCGCAAGTTGAAGGATTTCCCCCGCGCTGCCGAGTTCTTCCTGAAGGTCCTTGACTTCAACGCCGCCGTGGAAAGCCGCTTGGACGCCAAGGACGCCGCAGATTTCGCATGGGATTCGGGGATGAATTTGGCGGATTTTGCCATCGATTCATAGATGGTAAAACAATGCCATAAAGCCATGACCGGGAATGGTTTATAGATGTTCATAGCACCTTTTTCTGGTTGGGGCCATGTGTTTTCTTTTTTTTAAATTGTTTTACCCACATGAGTAGTGGTTTTGAAATGGCTATGGATGTCATGGCTTTTGGCCGCGACCGGTGATGCTGTCCAGGACTTCGGAGGAGCGCACAGCCTCCTGAAATCAACGAGTTTCCTGGGATCAACGGGCATCGATGAGATGAAGCTGGAGATCAGGTGCTTAGAAGGCACGGCACCTGTGGGCGATGGATTTCAATATGGATCAGGTCAGCTGCAAAAGAAGGGAGAACATATATGTTAACACTCAGTCACTTGATGATTTGTTATTTGATGTTTTTTCTTCTGTTCTTTTTTTGTTGGGCCGGCTGTCAGAAATACAAGCCATTGGTCCGCTCTCTCTTCCCGCGCTGGAGGCCTTCAGAAGTATGGTGAGGCAGCGCGCATCTACATGAAGATCTTGCCAGAAGGCGTGGTAAACATCTTCTCATGTCCCTTTCCAGACGTGTTAACTTTCGTCGTGTAACCGGTTGGAGATATGTTGATGTCTAGGGATTCTAGGGCATATGATTGCACCAACAGTTATCATCATTTATCTATACATTATATTAATATCATATTAATATCATATTAATATCAATTCAATGATTATTACATGATACAACTGGTTAGTGATTTGGAATATTTTTTTTTGTTTCTCCCCACCGCATTATGAGCCCCATTGTCCAATATTTTCATGGGCATGAACAGCACCAACCAGATACCAACCACTGGGAGACTGTTCACATGATCCTGGCAATGTTCACTAGGAACACCTGGCTTCGCCCAAACATGTGGGACATGCCCCAAGATGCCAATTTTAGTGGGGAAAATGATTGGGAGTGGCCTATATTTTGAGACAACCCATCTTCATTGAATGCAATGTCTTGGCGAAATCCCAGGCGCTGAGCGTGCTAAGATGGCCCTGAAAGCATTCGAATTGGCTATGAAGTGCAAAAAGATCTATGGCAGCAGAAAGGGTCATAGATGGGATCCAATTTAAGCTACATCTAAGCCAGTGTCACCCAAATTTCGCAATCCAAATTCATCCGTTTGCTTCACCAGTTGCGCCAACATGGTTCAATGCGGCGCTGTGCATGTTCATGAGTGGAAGAGGTTTCAAATTCACAGGTATGGTTCCTTCTCGGAATTCAGAATCAAAGCTTCCAGCATTTCCAAACCCACAAATACCAGGAATATCACCTGGCCAGAACCCCAACCTTTGCACTTCCAGGGGGTCCCAACTAAGGACATCCAAAGACTTTTTCATGGAGTTTAGCCATGAGATGCCAGACCCCAAGATTGCTACTTGGACTGGTGGATTCCAACCAGCTAAAAAAAGAGGGGTCGTATTAGTGAACGCCTAGCAAGCCCCAATCGCTGAACTCATTTTCCCGTTGTTTTTTCCGTTCAGTTTCATTTGCAAATTCTGGTGCGCCATATCGAAATACGTGTCCTTTTGTCCCCATTTTTTGGTTACATGAAATGCCTTCAGAAGGCGTCCCATTGCGTTTCCAGCAACGGATCCACTGAACCCATCCAGCCACCGAGACACGGCAGGCGCTGCAGTACTTCTTGGAGGTGGCCGACGCGGAGCAGATCTGCGAGCAGCTGATGAAGCTTGAGACCCTTGGTGGACCTGGTGGACCTGTGGATGATCTTTGTGGCATAATTGGGTCATAGATGCGTACACATAGATAGGTAGATAGGTAGATAGGTAGATATAGAGAACACGGATGATCTTCTAGATGCATTATATATATATATACACAGGTGATTGATGGGTCTTGCATCAGTAGCAATCATTTGTAAATTCCGGTGTTTCAGTTGCGGTACATGTGCTTGGTATGATCATTAGAATCCTGCTTTCCACAGTCAACCTAAAACGTAGTTGAGGAATCATTCACCACCTGTGCCATACCTGCGCCCAATGCCATACCTGCGCCCAATATGTGAATTTGGGGCCGTTCTGGGGATCCCCAATTTTCGGACGGGGCCGATTTTTGCAACATTGCGATAAGTACGAACCCATAGTTTTGCTTCAGTCCTCACATGTGGCTTCTAAATTCTTCTACCATCTACTCAATGATGGCCATTTGTATTTCAAGTTCCCAGGGCCTCAGGGGATTCGAGTTGCAGCTGATCATGATCCCTCCCCAGGAAGCATCTGGCGGCGGTTGCGGCTGCTTCCATCCTGGGAGAACCTGTGAAGGCCATCCAGCTGCTGGATCAGAAGCCAGTCCAGGAGCAAAATTGGGCGACAGCCTTCGACTGATGCAGGGATGGGATTTGAGTCACTAAATCGAATCAAATGTCACTATTGAGTCTTCTAAACTCAAATTAGTCAATCATGAATTAGTCGTCTGAGTTTTTATGTCACTAGGTCTCAGCTCAAACGATTCAAACTTGTGGTGGAAACTCTTGGGGCTTCAGAGCTTCCTCAGAAATCTGACCAATTAAAGGTACATTGGTCGCTTGTGACCCTATTCACTGTTTCTATGTTTTGAAGTAAAAAAGATAGGGTCACAAGTGACCAAGTGTGCTTGGAGTCCCACACCTGTCACACAAAAATGGTGCGGCCCCTTTGTGGTCGCCTGTGACCCTATTCGTGCCCGAAGTATCATTTTTGAAGGAAGTCTCGCAGAAAAGCTTCGTTTTTGAGTTTGGAAGCTTCATTTTTGAAGGAAGTCTCGCAGAAAAGCTTCGTTTTAGAGCTTCGAAGCTTCATTTTTGAAGGAAGTTTCGCAGAAAAGCTTGGTTTTTGAGTTTGGAAGCTTCAGTTTTGAAGGCAGTCTCATAGAAAAGCTTCGTTTTAGAGCTTCGAAGCTTCATTTTTGAAGGAAGTCTCGCAGAAAAGTTTGGTTTGTGAGTTTGGAAGCTTCATTTTTGAAGGAAGTCTCGCAGAAAAGCTTCATTTAAGGGCTTCGAAGCCACATGTCATTTATTTATCTATCTATCTATCTATCTACCTACCGATCTATCTATCTATCTATCTTATCGTATCTTATCTTATCTTATCTTATCTTATCTGGTTTAGTGGAACGCAGGGGGGGGAAGTTTGAATAAAGAAGTAGAATGGAGACAATGGTATAGTGGAACGCGGGGGGGAAGTTTAAATAAAGAAGTAGAATGGAGACAATGCTTTAGTGGAACGCAGGGGGGGGAAGTTTAAATAAAGAAGTAGAATGGAGACAATGGTATAGTGGAACGCAGGGTGGGGGGAAGTTTAAATAAAGAAGTATAATGGAGACAATGGTTTAGTGGAACGCAGGGGGGGGAAGTTTAAATAAAGAAGTAGAATGGAGACAGGGGGGGGAAGTTTAAATAAAGAAGTATAATGGAGACAATGGTTTAGTGGAACGCAGGGGGAGGAAGTTTAAATAAAGAAGTAGAATGGAAGTTTAAATAAAGAAGTAGAATGGAGACAATGGTATAGTGGAACACGGGGGGGTGAAGTTTAAATAAAGAAGTAGAATGGAGACAATGGTTTAGTGGAACGCAGGGGGGGGAAGTTTAAATAAAGAAGTACAATGGAGACAATGGTTTAGTGGAACGCAGGGGTGGGAAGTTTAAATAAAGAAGTAAAATGGAGACAATGGTTTAGTGGAACGCAGGGGGGGGAAGTTTAAATAAAGAAGTAGAATGGAAGTTTAAATTAAGAAGTAGAATGGAGACAATGGTATAGTGGAACACGGGGGGGTGAAGTTTAAATAAAGAAGTAGAATGGAGACAATGGTTTAGTGGAAGGCAGGGGGGGGAAGTTTAAATAAAGAAGTATAATGGAGACAATGGTTTAGTGGAACGCAGGGGGGGGGAAGTTTAAATAAAGAAGTAGACAAAGTGGAAGACAATGGTTTAGTGGAAGGCAGGGGGGGGAAGTTTAAATAAAGAAGTATAATGGAGACAATGGTTTAGTGGAACGCAGGGGGGGGAAGTTTAATAAAGAAGTAGAATGGAGACATGGTTTAGTGGAACGCAGGGGGGGAAGTTTAAATAAAGAAGTACAATGGAGACAATGGTTTAGTGGAACGCAGGGTGGAAGTTTAAATAAAGAATGGAGAAAGTTTGGAACGCAGGGGGGGGAAGTTTAAATAAGAAGTAGAATGGAGACAATGGTATAGTGGAACGCGGGGGGGAAGTTTAAATAAAGAAGTAGAATGGAGACAATGCTTTAGTGGAACGCAGGGGGGGGAAGTTTAAATAAAGAAGTAGAATGGAGACAATGGTATAGTGGAACGCAGGGTGGGGGGAAGTTTAAATAAAGAAGTAGAAAGGAGACAATGCTTTAGTGGAACGCAGGGGGGGGAAGTTTAAATAAAGAAGTAGAATGGAGACAGGGGGGGGAAGTTTAAATAAAGAAGTATAATGGAGACAATGGTTTAGTGGAACGCAGGGGGAGGAAGTTTAAATAAAGAAGTAGAATGGAAGTTTAAATAAAGAAGTAGAATGGAGACAATGGTATAGTGGAACACGGGGAAGTGAAGTTTAAATAAAGAAGTAGAATGGAGACAATGGTTTAGTGGAACGCAGGGGGGGGGAAGTTGAAATAAAGAAGTAGAAAGGAGACAATTGTATGGTGGAACGCAGGGTGGGGGGAAGTTTAAATAAAGAAGTAGATTGGAAGTTTAAATAAAGAAGTAGAATGGAGACAATGGTATAGTGGAACGCAGGGGGGGGAAGTTTAAATAAAGAAGTAGAATGGAGACAGTCGTTTAGTGGAACGCATGGGGGGGAAGTTTAAATAAAGAAGTATAATGGAGACAATGGTTTAGTGGAACGCAGGGGGGGGAAGTTTAAATAAAGGAGTAGAATGGAGACAATGGTTTAGTGGAACGCAGGGGGGGGAAGTTTAAATAAAGAAGTAGAATGGAGACAATGGTTTAGTGGAACGCAGGGGGGGGAAGTTGAAATAAAGAAGTAGAAAGGAGACAATTGTATGGTGGAACGCAGGGTGGGGGGAAGGTTAAATAGAGAAGTAGAATGGAAGTTTAAATAAAGAAGTAGAATGGAGACAATGGTATAGTGGAACGCAGGGGGGGGAAGTTTAAATAAAGAAGTAGAATGGAGACAGTCTTTTAGTGGAACGCATGGGGGGGGGAAGTTTAAATAAAGAAGTAGAATGGAGACAATGGTTATAGTGGAACACGGGGGGGTGAAGTTTAAAAATAAAGAAGTATAATGGGACAATGCTTTAGTGGACGCAGGGGGGGAAGTTTAAATAAAGAAGTAGAATGAGACATGGTATAGTGAACGCATGGGGGGGAGTTGATTATAAAATAAAGAAGTATAATGGAGACAATGGTTAGTGGAACGCAGGGGGGGGGGAAATTTAAATAAAGAAATAGAATGGAGACAATGGTTAGTGGAACGCAGGGGGGGAAGTTTAAATAAAGAAGTAGAAAGGAGACAATGGTGGAACGCAGGGTGGGGGGAAGTTTAAATAAAGAAGTAGAATGGAAGTTTAAATAAAGAAGTAGAATGGAGACAATGGTATAGTGGAACGCAGGGGGGGGGAAGTTTAAATAAAGAAGTAGAATGGAGACAGTCGTTTAGTGGAACGCATGGGGGGGGGAAGTTTAAATAAAGAAGTAGAATGGAGACAATGGTATAGTGGAACGCAGGGGGGGGAAGTTGAAATAAAGAAGTAGAAAGGAGACAATTGTATGGTGGAACGCAGGGTGGGGGGAAGTTTAAATAAAGAAGTAGAATGGAGACAATTGTATGGTGCAACGCAGGGGGGGTGAGAGTTATTCAAGGGATAGGGTCGCAGGTGACCGGATAGTAGGGTCGCAAGTGACCGGGTATAATAGGGTCACAAGTGACCGGATGATAGGGTCACAAGTGACCATGGTACCCTTCAGAGCTTCCTCAGAAATCTGACCAATAGGACCGCGACTGGTGGGTCCTGGAAATCCTCCTGGTGGCGACTAAGCAGAATCTGGGCGCCTCGGAGCATCAGATCTGGGTCAATTTATCCTGCTTGGGTCACTCAACCGAAGACCATGCTACATCCTGATCATCCTGACAGATGCGAAAAATATGCTGGCAGGAAAACCTCTGACAATCATCACTTCCTCAAGAGGTTGATCCAATTGTTGGCCCACCCAACTGTGGCCCCGGCTGAGGACGAGAGAAGCTCTTGCCTCTTCTGGAGTATGTAAATGATGTGTGGGAACGTGCCCAGGAGGGCCATCGGTTGTGATGTGGCGCCCAGGGTCGGTGTTCCATGGCAGATTCTGAGATCCCAGAACTCCAACAGCCCTTTGGCTTGGCAAAACCCTTGCTGCGCAGCTGAAACCAGGAACTTGAAGACATCGCCTATCTGGACTACGTTGACTCCGTGATCTCGAGACGCTGCGGGAGGAAGCAAGGGAAGACCGAGCAGCTTGGCGTGGAAGATCATGGAATGGGTTGAAGGCTGGAGGATGGTGCATAAACTACCTAAAGTCAACCAAAGATATCTAAAATCTAAAAGGGCTGGTTTATGGGGGCCCAGTGCCAGCTAGAAGTGAGAGGCGCCTTTTTTTTGGAAGCCTGTTTGCTACAAGTATCAAAATTGTTGCTGCTACTGCATTTGATCAAAGTTGGATGCTTACACAAACATATTCAACATTGCCTGGTTATTCTGTTGCGTACAAAGTCAGACGTCTTTGTTTACCTAGAAGCATGGTACCAGTATTCAAAGCCATACTGGCATACTGTTGTAGTTAATAGCTGGTTGGTGGTTTCAAACATTTTTTATTTTCCATTTCATATATGGGATTTCCATCCTTCCCATTGACGAACTCATATTTTTCAAGATGGTTATTGCACCACCAACCAGATAGGTATGAATCCGTATCATACTTGGTTGTTATGAAATACTGGTGTGGCTTCGCGGAAACTCCGAAACTCCAAAGAACCATCAAAGAACGATCTGGGCATTTGACCAGCAACGTGAGGCTTCGCAAATCCTGGACGCAGGCTGGACGGGAGGGGTGATTTCTCACATGGCTATGGGAAATTACCTTTTTGACATGCCGTGTTTGAATCAGTTTTCACTGGTGATGTTTGGGTGGAATGAGGGCGGGCTTTGTTGAGGGCATTAGTTTTTAATTAACTTACTATCTTTTAGAATTGCTCAAAAGATTGTTTTTTGAGGTACGTAGTGGCTGTGCCAAAAAAAGCCTCCAGGCACAGGGAAAGTTGCAGGAAGTGGACAGCCTTGCGTTCTGCCAAGAGCTCGCTCTACATGGCAGCGCTCCTTGGCTGTGGCCGAGCCGTGTTTCAAGGGATCCGCCCTGGTGGAGTGTGGAATTTGTTCTCAAACATGTGACGTGCATCAGCATGTCACATGAACAAGGCACAGACATGTGCAAAAACTGAGGAGATAGTTCTTTTTTCTAGATTATTATATATAAATTATATGCTTAGTGAGTTAATCCTTAAAGCAATGTCTTTTCCTCCCCTTCAAGGCTCCCATTTGGGCCTTTGGTTGACTCCAGCCGGCAAGGAAAAGGATCTGACTTGGACGCTTCAACAATTGGACTGGTACATTGAAGAGGTACACTGTGGAAAGCTGCAGATGACCTGTTGCACTTAAAGATTGGACTTTGGTGCCATTTTGCGCGGACCCGTGAACAACCTTACTGCACAGTACATTCTAGATGTTCTCTGTTGGAAAGTTGAGTGCAACAGGGTGGCCCATGGTGGCCCAGACGCACACATATGCACGAACATTGCTGGAACACACGCACAAACACATGCAAAGAATAGGGCGTTGAATCGAACAAGCACGGCCGATTGCAGCGGAGGTCTTGCGAAGCTCTTGGTACAAACAGACCGGCAAGGGCGTCAAGGAGAGCAAAGAGATTCGGAGCCTTCTGGAGAGGTACTACCAGGCCCTCAGTCCGAGAAATCAATATTGAAATATATTCAACAATGGTCAACATATAACATGAACATATGAACTAAAGAGAACCATCATAATATGGTTCACATGTCAACCAACATATGAACCGAAGATAACCAACATATGAACATATAATATGAACATACGGTTTGCACGTTTCTGCCATCAGAATCCATCAGTGCAATGTCCCTGCGCAGGCGACACCGGATTTGCACCAAGTCTTTTACGAGACGCTCAGATGGCTCGGTCTCCCGAGCCTGGACCAGAAGAAGGCCCGGCTCGGCTAGGGATGGTGCACCGCTTGGCGATGCGAATCATCATGTGCCACCAGAAAATGCCGAACATGCCGAACATGCCGACTTAATCACCATTAATCACCATTAATCACACCATTAATCACACCATTAATCACACCATTAATCACACCAATAATCACCATTAATCACCATTAATCACCATCAATCACCATGAATCACCATTCAATAGTTAGTTGATTTACCCATGAAAAAATGTGATTTTCCATCGTTTTTTGTTTTTTTTGGAACGCCTCCATGGCCGGAAGAAGCAGCCCAGGTGATCCCTAGATGCCATCGACTCGCAGCAAAATGTCAGGAGGTTACATGGAAGCACTGCAGCCATCGCAACGGACGTTTCTAAAGTTCCCCCCAGTCCAGTAGTATGAACCAAGGGAGCTCAGGCTGAAACTTCAGTTTTTAGTGGTTTCATTGTTCATGTTTGATTTTCCATCTCCAAGTGGAGGTTTCCATAGTCATGGGGGTCCCCCCAATAGCTTTTTATGGTTTTCCATGGGAAAATCCTAAAAAATCACATGGGATGATCAATGGGGTTACCCTCCGGTTATGACTAACATAGCCATGGTATAGATGGCCCATAGAAATAGATGGTTTACTGAACTTAAAAATGGGTGTATCTTTCCATGGCGAACTGGCAATGTCATAACCAGATGGTAACTAGTAACTACCCAAGAAATACGATCCCCAATCTTTGATCTTATTGTTTGTTTCACCTGAGTATTGGGGTATGGTTTACTATTGGGTAAGGTCCTCTTTGAGACAGAATGTGGCACATCCAAGAACACACAATCTGCAGTCTTATGCAGGATGATTCAATGATGCCCCCATTTGGTTTTCATATTTTTGGAATGGGTTGAACATGTCAGCCGGTTGCAATCCAAAGTCTTTCGAATCGTTTGTTCCGCGTGTTGATTCGATATGCCTAGGCCAAGCAATTATTGCTTCCAGTTGAGTGTCAGCTCTAGCATAATTGCATGAGCTCAGGCTGACCCCTCACACCTTCATGTTGTTGTACTATCCTGTGCTCCTAGCTTGTTCTACCTAATTCAAAGCTTGAAAAACTGGTCGCTAACTTCTTAGCAGTTGGCTGGCAAGTGAATTTGAAACTAACGTTGCTTAGTGCTTTCCCCCCCGCACTGTGTCACTCCTACCAGAATCGGTTGGGGCCTGCAACAGACTCACACTCCCCTTCTCCTAAAATAGAATACACCAGTAGACCTGCTCATTTTGGGTTCTTCGGGAAGTCACTACTTGGCTTCTTGACAAACCCGCAATGTCAGAAGCTTTATGCGGGATTGGTATGGTCTGGTGGCAAGAACTATGGCAGATAGATGTAGATAGTTAAAAATCTTAACATCAAAACATCAAAAATCCATCTTCCAGCCAGGTTCAAGGCTTCTCGGGCGTGCTTCAGCTGGACCCCAGCGCCATCCTGTTGGACTTAGAGGACGGCACCAGGTGGATGAGGGATGGCTGAGGGAAAGCAAACTCGGCACTCTCCAAGAGGAAGATTATCTTATACAGATGCACATCAGTTTTTTCATATATTTTGTATCTTGCTATTTTTTTTGGCCTTGTGCTGTTTGAAGGGGGGTGATGGAGTCTCATATGATAATGATAACATCTTACTTTCAGCCTGAAACGGTGATCTTGCAGTAGCTGGTATGATGGGTATGCCCATGCCCAATGCGAGCGTTCAATCAGGTTGCTGGAAAGAACCCCCTTTTCTCTTTTCGCAGGGCCGAAACTGTGTGGATCTGCTGAAACTCATCTTCAATGGAATCCTCTGCAGATCCTACCCTTTCCAATGTGTATAGGGTTGCCCAAGAAGGAGTGCCGCTTGGAACTTCTGCGAAAGTTGGACAGCCTCTGAGCCTTGGACCTTGGGTCATGTTGGCCACTTCCTGGGGTTCAAAGCGGTTTCATCAAAGCGGTTTCATCAGCGCACTGGCAATGAACTTCGTGTGTGTATTACAAACCCATTGACCCACCAAAATTTATCACTGGTTGGTGGTGACTGGAACATGGCTTTTATTTTTCCCATCATATTGGGAATGGAATAATCATCCCAACTGACGAACTCACTCCATCATTTTTCAGAGGGGTAGGTCAACCACCAACCAGTTTACCATTAATTATATATTAACCATTATTAACCACTATTAACCACTAGAAACCAGATCATGTTTGGCTCATTTCTGCCGGGCCGCCGGGCTTCCCCAGAACCTCTGAGAGAAACGTTGACCATCGTGGACCCGTTGCCACAAAGGCAAGAGAGCGGAAGACTTCTGCAAGCCGCCCGGGCTCTGGTTGCGCGCCATGGGTGCGGCCGAGGAGCGAAAGGTTGACTTCAAGGCAGGAGCCATGGGAGATGGGGAAGGTGGAGAAGATAGATCCACCAAAAAAGTGACATCAATGAATCAAGAAGAAAATCTTAGAACATCGAAAAAGAGGCGTGTATGTATGTATATATATATAGATATGTTATGCACATAAAACTACAACATACTACAACTATTTAACATGCATATATTGAATAAACTTGCTGTTAAGCCTGCTTACAGCTTACGAAAGTGAGACCATCAGCAACATGATGGGGATAGCTGGTTCACCATCACCTCGTTTTTTTTTTTTTTGGTTGGGATCATGCGCACTTTTTTCACCGCCGATTTCTGTTGGAGGATGGCTTCCACTCCAGCTTGCGGGCATGGGCATCCCGTGGGAAAGGATATCTCAGTCAAGAGGTGTCAGGCGCTTACCCTTTTCGGATGGTGAGACTAGCTGCGGCGCCGCAATGCTCAACATACAATGACTCCAATGACTGCATGGCGGGATGGGATCGTAGATTTGATGTGGCCTTGAACTAGCACTTCAAGATCAATTTATATCACTCTCATAAGGTCATATCCACGTAGTCATATATGTTTTTTCTCTTCCCCTCCCATTCAATGTCATTCAGGAAGATATAGATTGATCTTAGAATCCTATTCGTATATATCCGCATGATATTGATAGCAATATATGATAAATCGTGACATTTGATTCGACATCATGTCCCATCATGTCCCATCTGCAAACTTCGTGCCACCGTGCGGCCTTGTTAAACACCCTTCCAAGGCGGCAGATGATCCCAGAGGCCGTGAAAGATCTGTGGCACAAAGCACGGCAGGATGCGGAGCACATCCTGAGGATGGGCCGTTTTCGATGGCTATGTGAGATTACCAGTGGGATCCAGAAGGTAATAACCAAGAAAATCCAACTGGGGTAAGTAATTTTAATATAAAAACACCTGGGGTTTGTAATATATTCAATATTATTCAATTATATTATTTCCAACTTGGGCATTAAAAAAGAAACCCTAGTGCTGGATGCTATGACACATTGCCCGTGTGGTCACGCTTGGTCCATGATGCTAGGAACAAACGTAGCACGAGCAAAGAGTTTAAGGAGGCAGCCCAGACACTCCAGCGGATCATCAAGGAGATGGTGGCTTGTCATCACACCACAATACATATATGGATGTTACTTTTTCCTCTATAAAATGCCAGGGGTCAACCCTCTCCATAAAACGTTTTTATGTTATGGTTTTGTGGGGGTATAGCCCGGCCATTTTGAAAATCAATTTGTTGAAGGTATAGACCTGCTTGAGCGGCTTGAAGCATTTCTGGATCTCAGGTTCAACTCCTCCGCGAAGCGGGCTCCTACAACGAGTCAATAGCGCAGTCGCTCAGTGATCTGGTACTGGAGGAGCCCGCTCCGCTGGGCCGGGGACAGGTTCGTATAGCCGGCAGGCGTTCTTGTCCTTGATTCTTTCGCAGGCTTTGAGGGAACATTTCTTTTTTTTCGTTTGGGGGGGGCACAACCTGGAACGTTGTCAAGAGACGGGCAAGGCCTTCTGCTTTCCGCGGACAGATCTCAGAACTATAACCAGCTTCAAACACAGTAATTATATAATTACCCACAATCGGTTTATAAAAGAACAAGGTGCATCCCATGAGTTGAGTAAAGCGTTTGTTTGCCAGCCCAGCCTCCGCAGGGCTTGAAGGTGTTGATGCCAATTTGCCCCGAACATGTCACTCAAGAGTGCAAAGCACGCGACAAATGCGCTCCTGCTGCGTTTTAAAGAGTTTTGTGTCGTGTCATGACAGTGCTGATGGCGAGCCTATGTCCGATCTTTCCATGATGATATATAGAACCATAAAGCTAGAATGTTTTATATATTCTATATATATATATATATCATACAAATAGCTAGTCTGGTTGGTGCTTTGGAACATTTTTTGTTTTTCCATATAATTATTGGGAATGTCATCATCCCAACTGACGAACTCATATTTTTCAGAGGGGTTGGCTCAACCACCAACCAGACAACCTCTGTTCTCGTGAAAATCTCAGGTCCTTTGGATCATCCAGAGGTGGGCAAAACTCACGAAGCCCGCCAGCTGCTGAACTTAAAGAAAGGTGCCACGGCAGGGAAGGACCGGCCGTTACGGTCACCCCCAGGATTTTGCAAAACCCTTAGGCTGTTGATCATTGGGAGCATTGAAGTCAAAACGATGACATCAGTATTGGGGGTAATGAAGTTCGGATTTTTAATGAACCGGGGTTTATTAATCTCTGCTCCCTAATGCTAAAACACCACCCAAATGCTAAACACGGTGATCCATTTTTATTATTAGGGGTATTTAGTATTAGGGTGCCCCTAATAATAAAACAATTAATAAAACAAATAATAATATAAATTTGATTTCAAAACCAATTAAATATTTTTTTAAAAAAATCCTCTTGAAATATTGCCAAAAATTAGATTTCGAAGCTTTCCCCTAATAATAACACATAAACCTTAATGGAAAAACATCGATTTCAAAATCAATTAAATTCCTTTTTAAAATCCTTTGAACATATTGCCAAAAATTGGATTTCGAAGCTTTCCCCTAATAATCAAACAAACACCTTAATTGAAAAAAAACAAATTCAATTAAATAATTTTTAAAATATTACCACAAATTTGATTTCGAAGCTTTCCCCTAATGATAAAACAAAAACCTCAATAAAAAAAGAAAAACGATTTCACAATCAATTAAATTCCTTTTTAAAATCCCTTTAAAATATTGCCAAAGATTGGATTTCGAAGCTTTCCCCTAATAATCAAATAAACAACCTCTATAAAAAGAATAAACAACATGATTTCAAAGTTGATGGGGCCCTAATAATAAACTTATGGGTCTCGTTCTATTTCCCGAGAGCGTCTGAGCGCAGGGTTCTTCCAATAGTGGGGGTCTGTAAAACATCTTCTCATCTTCACATCTCATCTTCACATTCTCTCATCCTCACATCTTCTCATCATCTTCACATCTTTTCATCTCCACATCCTCTCATCTTCACATCCTCTCATCTTCACATCCTCTCATCTTCACATCTCATCTTCACATCCTCTCATCTTCACATCTTTTCATCTTTACATCCTCTCATCTTCACATCGTCTCATCTTCACATCTGCTCATCTTCACATCCTCTCATCTTCACATCCTCTCATCTTCACATCTGCTCATCTTCACACCTTCCCATCTTCACATCTGCTCATCTTCACACCTTCCCATCTTCACACCTTCTCATCTTCACATCTGCTCATCTTCACATCTGCTCATCTTCACACCTTCCCATCTTCACATCTTCTCATCTTCAACATCTGCTCATCTTCACACCTTCCCATCTTCACATCTGCTCATCTTCACATCTGCTCATCTTCACATATGCTCATCTTCACATCTGCTCATCTTCACATCTGCTCATCTTCACATCTGCTCATCTTCACATCTTCTTATCTTCACACCTGCTCACCTTCTCTCTCACGCCTTCTTTTTATCTTTCTCTCTTAAGGCCGAGGGTGGTGCCGGCGGCGAGTCACGAAACGTCAACCCTTTCGCACGAAATGAGGGTCGATCGGCAAAAACTGAGGTAAAATTGCGATTTGACTTGCCCCGGAGCAACCCTTTCGCACGAAATGAGGGTCGATCGGCAAAAACTGAGGTAAAATTGCGATTTTTCTTGTGCCGGAGCAACCCTTTCGCACGAAATGAGGGTCGATCGGCAAAAACTGAGGTAAAATTGCGATTTTTCTTGTGCCGGAGCAACCCTTTCGCACAAAATGAGGGTCGATCGGCAAAAACTGAGGTAAAATTGCGATTTTACTTGCCCCGGAGCAACCCTTCGCACGAAATGAGGGTCGATCGGCAAAAACTGAGGTAAAATTGCGATTTTTCGTGTGCTGGAGCAACCCTTTCGCACGAAATGAGGGTCGATCTGCAAAAACTGAAGTAAAATTGCTATTTTTCTTGTGCTGGAGTAATCCTTTCGCACGAAATGAGGGTCGATCGGCAAAAACTAAGGTAAAATTGCGATTTTTCGTGTGCTGGAGCAAACCTTTCGCACGAAATGAGGGTCGATCGGCAAAAACTGAAGTAAAATTGCGATTTTTCGTGTGCTGGAGTAATCCTTTCGCAGGAAAAGGGGTTTGTGTGTACGAGCGTTTCTGTGTAAAGATGTTTGTGTGTAAAAGTGTTTGTGTGTACAAGTGCATCTGTGTAAAAGTGTTGTGTGTAAAACCTTCTGTGTGTAAAAGTCTTTGTGTGTAAACGGGTTTGTGTGTACGAGTGTTTCTGTGTAAAGAAGTTTGTGTGTAAAAGTGATTGTATGTAAAATTGCATCTGTTTAAACGTGATTGTGTGTAAAAGCTTCTGTGTGTACAAGCGTTTGTGTGTAAAAGCAGCTCCTGTGTGTAAAAGGGTCTGTGTGTAAAAGTGTCTGTGTGTAAAGGCTTCTGTGTGTAAAAGTGTCTGTGTAGAAGCGTCTGTGTGTAAAAGCTTCTGTATGTAAAAGCTTCTGTGTGTAAAAGCTTCTGTATGTAAAAGCTTCTGTGTGCAAAAGCTTCTGTGGGTAAAAGCTTTGTGTGTAAAAGCTTTGTGTGTAAAAGCGTCTGTGTGTAAAAGTGTTTGCGATGCAAACTATTGTCTTGCACTTCTCACTATTTTGTCTTGATACTCCTCTTCTCGACTGCCTATAACACAGCTTTCATATATCGTTTCTAATATTGCGTCTCCATACTAACAAGAGAAGACCCTGCTCCTCTACGCTCTCGGGCCATCCGTCGTCTAGTTTTATTAATAGGGGGTACAAACCATTATTTCACTATCCTGTTCTCCCATTGATTTTCAATTACCACAATTAAGACCCGTTTGCTATCCATGCACCATCCATCTTGTCAGATCCAAGATGTCATACTGTGTGATTTGGCTGGAGGCAGTCCCAAGCCCATTTTTGATGGCCTGGGCCTTCACGCGTGGCTGCAGCTGGTGAATGTTTGCTCAAAGAAGGCCGGGAGAGGAAAATCTGAGAAATCTTGGAATCCTTTTAATGAATAGGAAACTTTGGATAGCTTTGGGGTTGAACATGAACCCAGTTGCATCTGACCTACAATCTACAATTTTCATTCAATTTTCGTTGCTTTCCTTTCTTCTCTCTAAGTCTGCCTTTTTTTCTCCTCCCTTTCTCGCAAAAGCGCGGCCTTTCTCCAGTGCCTCTCCGGTTTTTTGGCGTGACCTGACTTTGGTCGCCCCGGGTGATGGTGAACGCTGCGTTAGGTTCGAACTGGCGAGTGCACTTCTTCCCACTGCCCGTGGCTCCACCCTGAAGATCGGATGCTGCAGACGATGCAAGACGCTTTGAGGTGCCGGGCGCCAGGGGTGGGAACATCTGGCAACACATGGAAGATGGCTGGGAGCTTTTCAAATGAAGAATCTCAATATAAACAAGACAATGGGATAAAGTATGATAAAGTGAGATAATCATATTGGATAATTTTAGACACTGATAGATAAGCAAGCAGAAGCAAAGCAAGTGGAAGCAAAGAAACCAATGACTAAATTGACTAAATAGATCTAATCGATCAACTTGGAGCCACTAGCAGCCTGCCTCATGAAGAATTCCGTGGCAAGTCTCGATCCAGTGTTCCATCTTTGGGTTTCAAACACAAACATCACAAGAGGCCATCAGATGGTTGTTGGAGGTATCAATCCAATTTGGGGCCTGGGCGATCTTTTACCGGGACATGAATAATCATCAGGAATGAATCACCAGCTGTCACCAATTCAGGCATTTATTTCCCCCCCAGATGGAAATGTCCACTGCAGGGAAAAGCAGGGGCAGACTTCGTACTACGGTCTCAAGTTCAACTTCAAGCACTTGCACGGCCTTGAAACAGTACCAGCCTCAGTGATTTGGATTCCGCTGATTCCGCCAAAGTCTGCATGCGGCGTCAGACGACTTCCAGGTGGCGCAGGCTTTGCACGATGACAAATGCAAGATCCCACAGGGCTTCGGCTGCTGTTTGTTCAAGGTCGGGATGGTCGGGATGTTGGGTTTTTGGGGCACCGGGCACCGGCGATCCACTGGGCCCAGGATGAAGAGATGATGCTGAATGTGCGCCTGGTGACCATTCTGGCTTCAGCAATGTTCCAGGAGAGCAGCTTGGTGCAGGTTCAGTAAGGTCAATTATCCAGACATTGGACATCAGTCCAAGTGTGGTTGCCGGTCGACTTGGAATGACGTCAAATACACAAGCGAGTCCTCTGGATGCCTTGGATATTCTTGAACGGTCTTTCAAATGTCCATTTTGCCGTGAGGTTACGGCGACTTGGGCCTGGATGCTTGCCGGGAGGTGCCTTGGAAGAGTTGTGACATGTTGTGATTCCTCACCTCCAAGGGTCCCCAAGGGCCCCACTGTCCCACTGTCCCTGTGCAGCAGGTGTTGAAGCGCATGTGCCGCAGCCTCTACCGCTACCCTGATCCGGAGGCCGCGGAGCTGGCGAAGAAAACGCTCCAGGAGATTCGCCACCTGGATGCGACGACTGGGAGGGTCGGGGGGCGTTAAGCGACAGTCGTTGTGGGTGTACATAAAACCGACCATTTTATGGGTATCAAATGGGATGTGACCAGGCAACATGAAGTTTGTTTAAGAGAAATCTTTCAAGTGACTTTCACATCTCCCTGAAGGGTTGCCAACCTCAGGAAACTTGAAGATCTTGCAACAGCTTTCCCACGACATCACTTGGGAAGTTGACGGCCAGGAGCTCAATAGTCGAAGCCGTCTCCGCAAGCTGAACACCCGCCATTCTGTAGATGGTGCGGCCATGTGCCTACATGGCTGTGAAGATTGGGGTATGTTGTGCGCTCCCCACGCAGGCAATTTCATAGGGGAAACTATGATTGAGAGAAGTGAATGTGGAGGTTACCCCATCATTGTCAGAGAAACCCAGCATTTTACATCCCCAAGTGGCTCAAGCAGTCGCGCTCTTCAGTGCTGTTCCCCGCACATTTTTGAGCTACGCTGCCAAGATGGGCTGCGCTGCAGGCTGTGCCAACTCCTCGGTGCACGAGCCCGAGCTCAAAGGTCCCAAGGGAGCCCAGGGACCCCAGGGACTCCAGCGGCCCAAGGTCCAGCATGGCCAGGGAAAGCCAGACTTCATTGAGCTGAAGTCTAAGACTGAAGACCTGAAATTTCGCATCTTCGAAGTAGCTGGTCCTGGCTCGGCGCTCTACCAGCCATATCTGGGGTTTGGCTTGGGTTACAACAGCTGGACCTACTCCGGCTGAAGGTGAACCGTTGGTTAGCCGCTGCCATGCCGAGCGACCCAACAGTGAACCTCGTGACCCGCCAAAATCGACGGCGCACAACGACAGATGCCTCACAGGGGCAGAAATTCAAACTATGCACTTGCATCATCCATCCTCGTCAACGGTAAGGGTTTGAGGGGAGTTTTAGTCTGCATTTCTTGCATTTTTTTTTGCAATTTTTGCAGTTTTGTGGCATCATCCATCCTCATCAACGGTAAGGGTTTTTGAGGGGAGTTTAGTCTGCAAATTTTTGCAATTTTTGCAGTTTTGTGGCTGGTGTTGCACCAGTTGCACCAGCACTTGTAAAGTTTCCACAGATCGGACCTGGTTATTGACAACACAGCGTCAGAACTTTGTCTTGGAAAAAAAAGATGCGCAGCTCGAAGCCAAATCATTGTTTTTGGGAATTTGACCTATGAGATATCATGAAACATCATGAAACATCATGAAATATCAATGAAATATCATTGAACATCATTGAAACATCATGAAATATCAATGAAATATCATTGAAATATCAATGAAATTGATCACCGACCATTTTACCACTTTACCATCATGAAACATCATGAGCATGAGTAATTATCACCTTACCATCCAGTCATCAGGCTGTCAGGGGTCATTGGGTCACGCATGAGGCGCAGCGGAGGTGGAAAATGAGCGATGCTTGCTGTCTCTTCTCCTTGGAACCTGGGCTGCAGGGAGGTGGTCCTGGGGCCCCTGGGGTCATTGGCAAATGCTTCGGGACGGCATGGGTCAGCTATGGTGGTGATACATTACCATTATTCATACAAGGTGAGGCACCCGTTTGGTATGGCTAAGTTGACGCACATAACTTGGTGAATTCTATGGTTTGTGGATGTTTATGGGGACTATAGTTATACTTCATGGGGTAAAACTAAAGCAACTTATAACGGCGGGGCCTCAGCTTGTCTCATGTCACCAGGTGTACCCACCTTTCCATCGTGGAAAGCGCACATAACCAAGAATCAACCCGCAAGGACACCCTCGGAGCCACGAGGCACATTCAAGAGTTGTCAGGAGAAATATCCACCAGGACGAATCATCTCCTAAAAGGATGGTGATTCCGTTGGTTTCATATGGATGGGTTGGACATCTGTCCCCCAGCACAGGCCACTGCTTGGGGGTTCAGGCATTCTGATCCTCACTGATCTTCAACTCCTACTGAGATCTCCTCAGGTTGGCTAAATATTTCAATTGTGTAGGTTGAAGACATCCATCTTTGAGAAACCCATGATATCTTCTGTTTTGGTTGGATATGGTTGGGTATCTCCACATTCTTGCGGCCTACCGGATCTTACCGGCTTAGGTCCTTGCTGGTCACCCCGGCGCATAACTGTCAGAACTGAGGCCGTGATGAGAACCAAAAACAAGAGAAGCGGCGTGTGTCCGCACCCGTCGGGGCAACTTTCAGGTTCAATCCCAACGCAGAAGAGTCCCTCGGCCTAGACATACTGCAAGAGGACCGGACACATCCCAAACCCGGTAGAGGATCCTAGAATCTTGGTGGTGGAATGTGCAAGGTTTCAAGCTTATCCTGCAATACACATGCATACATTGATGATGTTTTAAATTTGCCGCTTTGATGCACCCAAATCCGCCCAAATCCGTCAAAAATCCTGATCCACAATCCACCTCTCCAACTTGACGTGAAAACCAGGTTCAAGCCTATTGCAAGCATCTACAAGTCGCCGGCGCCGGCGCCTCCAGGTTCACGACGCGTTTGGGAAGGCAATGCTGCGCGGGATTTGTCGTGGCAGAAGAAGAACATCGACCAGATCTTGGGGGAGGCTGCTCAAGGAGAGCTTGGGGGGTGGGTTTAGGGGGTTGGAGGGGGGTGGTGTTAGGGTGGCTTGGGATGCCAGGATTCCAAGGATAAGTACTTTCTTACCTGTTCCAACATGTTCCAACTATTTGTTATCTCCGGTTCCTGCTCCTCGCCAGGAGCGCCTTCCAGGCAACCCATCGGAGGAAATGGCGAGGCCGTGAGAGGATTTTGGGGCAAATATGAGCAAATTATAAAGATAAAATACGATGCGCCGAAAGTGGCCGGATTTTTGGCAGTTGGATTGATTACCATCCAGTGGTTAGGAGCCTATGAAATGGGGAGACGTTTGGATCTTATGGGGTTTCCCAGCCACGTGATAGATTACGACGCAATGATAGGCTCATACCCAGACTGTATATGATTGGATGATATGATCATGATATTGGATGCATTTTGATCCACTTATCAACTAGCAGTAGCTGCTATTAGTTGCTGGATGATAGGCTTGGTGAAATCTGACAACCCTTGATCCACTTCAACGAGTTGCCGGAGATTGCTGCAGCGGATGACGAGGCCGTATGGAGACCGTCCATGGCAAGTTCTTCATCTGCCCGATGATTTGCCAAGTAATGTCCAGCACTGGAGCAACGTTGGGTGAAGCTGTCATCACCGTCACCCTGAATCTGGAACAAGCTGAGGGCAGCAGAAGGCTTCGAAGGCAGCCAAATCCGGCGTACTTTTAATTAATGTAACTGGTCAATCCATCAAGAGGATGGCATTTGTTCCTGACCGATTTGTGTAGACCATGTTTTGAGCATTTCATAGACCGCGATCCACCTGAACCGATTTGCCCTAGCAAAGCCATCGTTTCTAAACGATCCAAATTTGATGCTTTGACGAGCCACGGCAGCCAGCACCCAAGCTTGTTTGCAAATGGATGCACATTGTTTTTTGATAATGGTGTGCAGTATTCCCTCAAAATTGCCATTTGATTATTATTTGATTATCAAAAAGGTTGCATGGCTAGACATGTTTTACTGCAGCGCGGCAGGTTGGAGACCGGGACGTAGGAATATCTCCGAGGAGATATGTGGGATGGGCTGAGGTTGACTCAAACAGCAACGAGTCAAGCGCCCGGAGAGTCAGACATGTTGAAAATGTCGTGTGTTTGAGTCTCAGATTCAAAGGTATAAGGTCGTAGTTTAAGGTAGTCCTTTTCAAAGTTGTGAGTCTTAGTCTTGGTCTTCACAGACAATATATGGTTCTCTTCGCTTTTTTGGATGAAATCTGAGTCTCCCAGGGCTTTCAGCATGATTTCAACGCACCGCGAGTGCAATGGTGGCATTGGGCGTACAGCTGCGAGCCGTCGTCCAGATACCTCCGCCGACAAAACTTCGCATAGATCGCACCTTTTGTGTGCGAGACACCTATCGTTTCAAGACGAGTGATCGGTGCGGCCGAACCTGTCTTGCTATAGCCACGTATCCTGGGAAAAGATGCGATTTGTCGCAGTTGGGGCAAGAGGATGGCGGGCTGCTGTCCGAAATGAGAATAGGTTTGGTCCGAAACGTTTGTCAGCAAGGTTTGATGGAAGTGAATTGTGGTTTCCAGGACCGCATCGAAGCAGTGTTTCACTACTGAAGTCAGCTCGACCATCTTTGACCCTTTTCGGCGCTCAAAATCCTGAAATCTCCCGAAGCCAGGCTGGCTCAAGAGGCGTTCATCAAAGTCGTGGCGCCAAACGACCAACGAATCCATGGGTCAGCCAGAGGGGTTCCACTTTGACTGGAAGGAGTCCTTGGCTTCAGCCACCCGGCGGCGCGATGAGAAACCCTGCCCTGGGTGGTTGACGGAGATTTCCTAAATCCGAGTAGTATATAATATACATAATGCATAATGTTGGATCCTGATTAGTGTCGGGCCCCCCCCTAAAAACAAATGGATCCTCTTTAATGTGTTTTTCCCCCAACAGCGTAAGCTAATGGGGTCTTCAGCCCAGAATAGCTCCGGTGTGCACTGGTGCAGGTCAACGTGGTTCCGAGAAGGTTCCAAAGGTTCCGGAGAAGGTGTGGGAGGTTTTGTTTGGTGCAGAGCCAGGTCAGGTTCAGCAGGGCCGGAGGAGGTTCCAGGAAGCCTTGGTGCAAAGCCAAGTCAGGTTCAACAGGGTTTCCGGAGAAGGTTGCGGAGAAGGTCCCGGAGAAGGTTTTGGCAATCTTTGGTGCAGGGCCCGGGCCAGGTCAGGTTCAACAGGTTCAACAGGGTTACCAGCGCTTGGCTTCGCAGCACGCTTCAGAAAGATTTGTAAAAATAAAACGTTGCGGCTGTTGGGGATACCACCAGAGCTTATTTAAAGTAACGGGGTCTGAATATTTTTTTATCAATTGATTTTCACTTGATTTCAATTTACTTTCAATTGATTTCAGTTGACTTTCAATTGACTTTCAATTGACTTTCAATTGATTTCAATTTACTTTCGATTGATTTAAATTTGCTTTCAATTGCTTTCAATTGATTTTCAATTGATTTTCAATTGATTTTCAATTGATTTTCAATTGATTTCAATTTACTTTCAATTGACTTTCAATTGATTTTCAATTGATGTCAACTTACTTTCAATTGATTTTCAATTGATTTGAGTTAAGTTTGAATTTATTTTCAATCGATTTCAACTTACTTTCAATTGACATCCCATAGTAATCCCATAGAAATATCATAGAAACATCATGGAAATCCCATAGGAATCCCACAGAAATCCCATAGAAAGATTATAGAAAGGAGGGCTAATTATTTAGGATTTTTTTTTTGATCAGGTTTAGGAATTATTTTTGGATTCTTGCTTCTCTGCTTTTCCTGCTTTTCCTGCTTCTCTGCTTTCCTGCTTTTCCTGCTTTTCCTGCTTTTCCTGCTTCTCTGCTTTTCTGCTTTTTTGCTTTTCTGCTTCTCCGGCTTCTCTGCTTTTCTGCTTTTTTGCTTTTCTGCTTCTCCTGCTTCTCTGCTTCTCTGCTTTTCTGCTTTTTTGCTTTTCTGTTCTTCCTGTTTCTTTGCTTCTCTGCTTTTCCTGCTTTTCCTGCTTCTCTGCTTTTCTGCTTTTCCTGCTTCTTTGCCTTTCTGCTGTTTTGCTTTTGCGCGTTTCCTGTTTCTTTGCTTCTCTGCTTTTTTGCTTCTCTGCTTTTTTTTTTTGCTTTGCCTGCTTTAAATACTTGATTTTCATGTAAGATGCATTTTGCACAGTATTTACATCCCTGAGTATCACATGACCAACCTTCTCTTGAAAACTAGCAACGTAACATGTGAGAAGAGGTGCTTGCATTCTGCTTTGGGGGGAGGCGCTGCGCCCTCCCCAATCCCCCCCTCCCGCTTTTTTTTATTTAAACTTTAACCCAAGTTACATTAGTTGGTTTTTGCGAACTAACCTTCTCTGGAAAGCTGACAGGATTACATGTGATAGATAGATAGATAGATAGATAGATAGATAGCTGATAGATAGCTTGGTAGATAGATAGCTAGATAGATAGATGGCTAGATAGATAGCTAGATGGATAGATAGCTAGCTAGATAGATAAAAGAGGTAGCTAGATAGATAGCTAGATAGATAGATAGATAGCTAAATAGATAGGTAGCTGGTTAGCTAGATAGATAGATAGCTAGATAGATAGCTCGATAGCTAGATAGCTGGATAGACAGCTGGATGGCTAGATAGATAGATAGCTAGATAGATAGAAAGCTAGATAGCTAGATAGCTAGATAGATAGTTAGCTAGATAGCTCGATAGCTAGATAGCTGGATAGACAGCTGGATGGCTAGATAGATAGATAGCTAGATAGATAGCTAGATAGATAGAAAGCTAGATAGCTAGATAGCTAGATAGCTAGATAGATAGTTAGCTAGATAGCTAGATAGGTAGGTAGATAGCTAGCAAGATAGCTAGCTAGATAGGTAGATAGATAGCTAGATAGATAGATAGCTTGCTAGATAGATAGATAGCTTGCTAGATAGGTAGCTAGCTTGCTAGATAGGTAGCTAGCTTGCTAGATAGATAGCTAGCTACATAGCTAGATAGCTAGCTAGCTGGATAGATAGCTAGCGCCCTCCCTCAATCCCCCCCACCCGCATTTTATCTAATCCCAAGCTTCCGCATCTGTAAATATTTTGGTGAACATGCTCACATGTAGAACATCCCATGCAAAATGGAAGGTGAACATGCCAAAATGTGGCAAATACCATACAAAATGGAAGGTGAACATGCCCACATGTAGGAAATCCCATGCAAAATGGAAGGTGAACATGCCAAAATGTGGCAAATACCATACAAAATGGAAGGTGAACATGCCCACATGTAGTAAATCCCATGCAAAATGGAAGGTGAACATGCCCAAACGTGGCAAATACCATGCAAAATGACAAATTCAAGTTCCAAACCGTTGCAAACACTAGGCAAATGGTACCAGCCAAGAAATCCAAAAAAAAATCCCAAACCTGCTCAAAAAAAAATCCTAAAACTATTTCACACCCTTATAGAAATAACGAGGAAGTAGCATAGGAACCACAAAGAAATCCCATAAGAATCCCATAGAATTCCTTCAGGAATCCCATAGTAATCCCATGGACATATCATAGAAACATCATGGAACTCCAATAGAAATGCCTTAGGAATGCCATAGGAATCCCAAAGAGATCCCAAAGAAACACCACAGAAATCCCATAGGAATCCAATGGAAATCCCACAAGAATGCCATAGAAATCCAATAGTAATAACATAGAAATATCATAGACATCCAATAGAAACTCCATGGAAATCCCACAGAAATCCCAGAGAGATCCCATAGAAAAATCATAGAAATACCATAGAGATCGCATAGAAATCTGATAGAAATCAAATGGAAATAGCATAGGCATCCCTTTGAAACACCAGAGAAATTCCAAAGAACCATCATAGAAATCCCATAGAAATCACACAGGAATCCAATAGAATCCCATAGAAATATCATAGAAATCCAAAAGAAATATCATGGAAATCCCAAAGGAACCCCATAGACATATCATAGGAATCCCATAGTAATCCCATAGACATCCTTTTGAAACCCCATAGGAATCCCATAGAAATACCATCGACAGCCCATAGAAATCCCATAGTAACCCCACAGAAATGTCATAGAAATACCATGGAAATCCCATAGGAATTCAATAGAAGCACCATAGAAATATCATAGAGCCACCATAGAAATTCCAAAGAAACTTCATGGAAACACCATAGAATTGCCAAAGAAATCCTCTAGAAATATCATAGAAATCATTTTAAATCTTATAGTAATCCCATAGAAATATCATAGAAACCCAAAAGAAATATCATGGACATCCCAAAGAAATCCCATAGAAATATCATAGAAATATCGCAGAAATCTCATAGGAACCCAAAGGAAATCACATAGACATCCTTTTGAGACCCGATAGGAATCCCACAGAACTACCATAGACATAGCTTTAGAA